TGCAATTCTTTGTAAGTTCCATTATAAATCCTCATTACACTGATTACCCTAGGAGCACCGTGATGATTTGGCGCTGAGAAGTGGTGCTGACTGAGATAAGGAGAAATTGAAAACGATGGTTTAATTGCTAAGGTGAGTTTGTTTGGGTGTTTGGGTTTATCTTTGTATTGGTTTATATTTGTTTATATGTATGTTCACGTGCATAAATTTGTATATAGTTGTATAGGCCCAAATTTTGTGATTTGTTTTTTTTTTAAGATTTATTTTTGCATAGAAGAACTGGGGTGTAGGCCAGCGGTGTGGGGGTTGAGAGGATTCACCAGAGACAGAGTGGGGAGCAGAAAAGGTGGATCTACTGAAATACACTGCTGAGGGGAACAGCGGGCGAGACAGGAGACGTCTGCCACAACATGTGGGTAGCTCCAGGGAGCTCAGGCCATAGTGGTGATTGTGCTGAGACTTAACCCGTAGTCCACCAGGAAGGCCCCCTAAGAACATTTCTTGTGCATGTGTTATTTGCATGTATTTTGTGTATGCAGGCACTTGAATCTACCTGTGTCTGTTTATCCTTATGTGCAGTTTCTGTGTAGAGACCTAATTGGTACGGGGCGTGTTTGTGTGTATTTGAGTACTTGTTCTCACATCAGCAAGTCATGGCCTAAAGCTCTAGTTCATTCCCTTTGTTCCCCTTGAGCCAAGTGACTCTATAACTCTGGAGAGTGACAGCTGCTGGTGATTTTCCTGTTCAGCTGGGAGATCTGGGCTAAGGCTGAGGGAAGTGACTGAAGGGGGAGCAGGGACCAGGGGGGAGCAGGGGGCAGGCACTGCCATGGTGGCCAGTGAGTAGAAGGCTGAGGAGAGGCCAGGAGATAGGGAAGGAGACAGACCTTGCTCAGAGAGTCAGTGTGACCCCTGGTTACCGGGTGGAAACTCCTGGAACCCGCCAAGCTGTAGCCGCAGCCTTTGTAATGCCTCCCACAGGGGTACACCCTGGCCTGGTCAGTTCTCTGTAACCAGTACCACCCACCTCCTGAAATCTGTGCGGCTGCATTTTGATGTTCTTAGAAAGCCACTCACCTGTGCACTCACCCTCCCACACCTTCACCCCTACCAACCTGCCCCCCAACCCGAGTCCCACATGGGGAGGGGGAGGGAAGTACTAATTATTAAGGGGTGGGCCCCTCACAGGTACTTTCACCTCTACCCTGAGAGGTTAATAATATGACAAGCAGGTGAAAGAAATGGGAACCCTAAATTCACAGCCTTTTACAGTCTCTTTGACATCCACACATTCATGTCATCACCTCACAATCTCAGCCAGGTAGGAAAAACAGGCAGGAAAGGGCCTGCAGCTAGAGGAAGCTGATACGAAGGGGAGGGGCATTGCAGGGTAAATGAGAGAATCAGGGTCTTATCGCCGAGAGCGCAGGGGTTTGGGCACCCGGGGCCTGCGACTACGGACACCTGGGCCCAGGTAGCAAGGGCGGGCACCTGTGCCCTGAGGCCCGGCCTAAAATGGCAGCGTCACTCAGAGACTGCACTGCGGGCTCCGGAGGACCACGCTGAGACCTGGCCAGGGGAGCACAGGAGACTGAGTACGCCAGGGAGCGGCCAGAGAAAGAGCCGAGATTCGCCCTGCCGGCACCCTTTTCCCTCTTGACTGTCCACACTGCGCCTGTTGCCACTACAGGCATCATGCCAGCGATACCCCAAAGCTAGTGAATCTCCAGCTGTTTTCTGTTTCAAGCAGTGTTCCAAGAAAGATGCTTGTGAGAGTATTTCTTCTAAAATTCACTAAAATATCTAAAGTCATGTCAAGGTTATAAATGTCCCACCGTTACCGAACACCGGCCTCCGTTTCCCTCAGCCAATAAAAGGAAACAGTTTGAGGAAAAGGAAAGTGGTTTAATCTGTCAACAAATGAGGAGGGCAGCAGACTCGTGTCTGAAAGACAACCGTCCTGCTCTTTGGCAGAGGGCAGGGGTATTTACAAGGGGGAGATGGTAGGGGTCCGCACGGAGACAAGTGGGCACCAGCTCAACACAGAGATGGATGAGTGCCAGCTGGTTTTCACTAAGGGGAGGGGGAAAGTGCCAGCACAGAGATAGGTGAGGGGAAGGGGCCTTCCTCATTTGTCGACAAATTAAACCACTTTCCTTTTCCTCAAACTCTGTTTCCTTTTATTGGCTGAGGGAAACTGAGGCCGGCGTTCAGTAACAACACCACACTCAAGTCTCGAGAAAAATTGCATTAACTTGTTTATATTTATTTCTTTTAAATTCAGTTCCAAGATACCACTTGCAAAGCTGGTAGAATGTCCAATGTTAGTTACTATTGGGGTTCCTGCCCGCCTCCTCTTGACCCTACCAGGAACCCATGGTTCTGAGAAATGGGCACGCACAGGTCCTTGTCCAGGATGATGATCTCTACTCTCTGGCTCCTCACTTTGCTCCAGGGCTCTCTCTGCTGACCAGAGGCCCAACCAGGGAGACCCCTGCTGCTTCTCCCAGGACCATGGTCCTCGAGACCGTCTCTACGGCGGTTGCCGTCCATGAAGACAAGCCCATTCAAGAACTGTCACCTGGAAGTGTTTTATCAAACACCAACCAGCCCCCCATCTTTGCTCACTGTTATAGGGAGACTCCACACCCCAAATGCCAGGCTACTCCTTTCAATCTTGTAGCAAAAAAAGCTTTATCTCACTCCTCCTGAGAGAGCCAACCTAATTTCCCTCCTTGCACCCAGGTCTCCCTAACAAAGATGGGGTAGGGGGAAGAGAGGGTTGTCTTCAGGGCAGTTCCCGAAACACACACACACACACACACACACACTTTCCACTCCCCAGTGGAAAGGGGAGGCAGAATTCATAACACAAAGTCCTGTTTTTCCTTCCAATATCTAGGCAGAACCAAAGAAAAGTATCTTTTCACTATTTTTGCTACTGCCTGCTCCAATAGAATGGAAAGAAATTATCAGATAATTGCTACAATAAGTCCTTAATAGATCACCCTGCCACAATGTTTGTTTTTAAAATATAGATCATGTTGCATTCCCCCCAAACAGTGTTATCATCTGTCACATATGCAGCCATCCTTCACCCCAGAATGACACAGCAATCTGGACTAGGAGGCTGATGACCGACCTACTGCTTTAGTGGAAACAAGTGGTCCTTGACATCCTTCACCTAGGAAGGCAACAGCACCTAAAATAGAAATTCGGGAAACACTGGCTAAAATGTACAAGACCAGCCCAGATGTCAGCTTTGTATTAGGATTCAGAACTTGTTTGGGAGGTGGGAAGACAGCTACTGGTTTGGGGATGATTTACAATTCCTCGAGTTACAAAAAAAATGAACGTAGAGACTTACAAGACACAGCCTGTATGAAAAGAAAAAAACCATAAGAAAACAGAGAAAGGAACCCAAGAACAGAATGGCTGGTCTCCCTGCCTAGGGGTTAAGTCTCAGCACTATCACCATGAAGGCCTGAGTTCAATCCCGGCCAGGGAGCTACCCACATGGCGCAGCAGAACTCTCCTTTCTCACCCGCTGCTCCCCCCAGCAGTGTATTTCAAGTCAATCGGCCTGTTCTGTTCCCCACTCTGTCTCTGGTGAATCCTCTCACCCCCTGCACCTCTGGCCTATACCCCAGTTCTATGCATAAATAAGTAAAATTAAAAAAAAAAAAAGAACAGAATGGCAAAAAGTAAGCTGGAGATTGTACAACAGAAGGAATAAAGATTCTAAATTAGGGGCTTTATCTGTGCAGATTTTTCATGCGAGGATTAATAAAATCTTTTATGTGAAAAATAAATAAAAATACATTTGTAGAGTTGACCTCATTAACATGCAATCATTTTGCTTTTAAGGCAAGACCTGCCATCCTCAAGAACTCCAGACATTCAGAAGGGATGTCAGCTGGCTCCCAAAAGCATGCCTTGCAACCTGCTCAAGAATAGTGGCAGCACTGGCCAGAGACTGACACTGTGACGGGTGAGTGTCTTGTCTTATAACCTCAACATAGGTTCTTAGTACCATTGCATAGCTATTGAATATCAAATGTATTTATGCATTTTATACTATTTCAACACGAAGCTCTACCTAAAAGAGGGTATTTTCTTATGTGATCATTTCTGCCCTCTATGCTAAGTTAAACACATATTTCATTACGTTGGACAATTGTTCAACTAATGTGGGTTGAATAGCCAATTTGTGCCAGTTTCTGATCTGGGATACAGAAAACACGCCCACGGTGGTCTCTGTCTTCATGGGGGATTCAGTCTGTCATGAAGACAGACATTGAGCAAATGTACGTGAGAGTGTGGGGTGCAGTGCAAGAATCGCAGGTGCAATGGCGAGGCTGGGGCTAAGGGTGAAAGGGAGCCTAGGGTGCGACATTTAAGGAGGTAATGTGTGACCCTGAGAGTAAGAGGCTTCCCATGGGCTGCACCGTAAGCACTGCCATGTCCTCACTCTAGTTCCAACCCTGGCAATCAGAATGGTGGAGATGGAAAGGTGACTCTCCTAGTGAAGGGAATGGCTTTGAAGTAATATTCCCTGGCAGGGGCTGCCTGCTGTATCTTTGGACACCAAACAAATGAGCCCTTTTCTGTCAAAGAGCGATTCTCTGTTCTTTGGGTCTTGAAGGAAAGGAGAGCTGACCTGCTACCACAGTCAGCGCTAAAGGCAAGAATTCTTGCACAGGACACTGGGAATCAGCAGACAGGCACGCCGTACCAGCCCGGCCAGTGGGCGGTCCAAAAAGGACTTTGAGTCATAAAGGCCCGGATCCAAGCCACAGGGAAGGTGGAGGATATACTTACATGGTGGCCAGCAGTCCCTGGAGAAGTCCAGGCAAGAGCCCAGAGGTGATGCTAGTGCGGGGTCCTGCTAGGTTGTTTCTGCTGCCCACTGCCCCTTGCCTCCAGGCCCAGCTGTCTAGACTTCCAGTATGTTTTGTGAGCTCCATGTTATCCTCCCAAGAAATTCTCTTTCTGCCCTTGTGATCTCTGGTGAAATCTAATCATATGTCCAAGAATAAACTTAAAGTGTTTCATCATCAAATCTGTTGAGGGAATCTTGCTCGATTCCACCAAGAACCACTGTGAGATTGGATGTCAGAGTGTGGGACCATCTCACCTGACAGACAGATCAAGGGATCAGCAGCAAAACTCAATGTACAAAGGCCTCAAATATGAGGAAAGAGGAGGAAGGGTGTCAACGTGGGACTGAGAGAATGACCCTACGGCAGTGAAAAAATGGAAGCTTTGCAGGACAAGAAACAAGGGCCCTTGATGACTCGATATGATACGTGAAGACAGAGCACACTCAGTCTTGTGTCTCTGACAATGGTAAAGCGTGAGAACTCAGGAGACCTGGTGGGTGACAAGTGACACTCTTAGGCTTCAAATATTCACAGAGTTAGCAAATATTTATTGCTTTCCTCTGTGTTCCAGGCACCAGGGATACAATGGTAAACAAAACTGCCAAGATTTCACGAGATCCAAATTCTCTAGGGCAAGAAACAAGTAAATGAACAAAATAATTACCGCTTACTGGTCCATTCTGTTCTCCCTCCTACACACATACCACACCCCTTCCTTCCTTCCCTCCTTCCTTCCTTCCTTCCAAGTATAACTACATGGAACTGCCAGACGCACACAGAATTCAGCCAAAAGTGATTTAATAAAACTGTGAGATCCAATGATGTCAAACCCAAGGTCGGATAAGAAGTGTCAGACTTCAGAAGGCAATCTCAGGATTCGGTTATGCTTGAGGATCCAGATTTGACAGGCACATGCTTGGGATTTATACAGCACTTAGACTCATTACTGCATAATATATAGAACACTTCATTGTCTTCGCAATTTGTTCTGCACTTTCCCAACTTACTCCAACACTTCTTGACTGAAATTAAAAGGGAAGGAGTGGGGCCTCCCTGGTGGCGCAGCGGTTGAGCGCTGGGTTGCGAAGCTGCTTGCAGCCTCTGCAGCGCCGGTTCGATCCCCGGCTGCTCCCCGGCCACTGGGTGAGGGTCCCACATGGCGCGCAGACCTCTCCTGCCACCCGCTGCTCCCCTCAGCAGTGTACTTCATCAGTCTGCCTGCTCTGCTCTCCGCACTGACTCTGGTGAATTCTCTTACATGCTTCTGACTGTACCCAGTGCTTGTATAAATAAATAAATAAATCTTTAAAAAAAAAAAAAAAAGGAAGGAGTGGGCTGGGTAAATCTCAAAATAAAGCAGACAGTTGGGGAAGCACAGCTGGGCAGGTCAAAGACCAGTAAAGAAGACAGTAGTAAGGGAAATATAAAAAATATATGTGGGGATGAAGCTCTCACAAAGCATCCTCCAGGTTTAGGGGAGATTATAGGCCACTATCCTTCCTTTTCCTACCTGTGACCCCAGTTACAACCCCAAAGCCCTCCCCCTCTAAAGAGCCTGGGACTTATAGGGGCTTCCCCCGCCTGGCCACCTCCCTTCAGGGAGGCTAGAGGACTCCCTCTCTCCAGGGCTTCGTCTCCCCCATAATATAAGGTACACAGGTGTCCAGTGGTGATTAGTAACCTTTACCTTTTCCTTTTCCCCTTGGGTGCCCTCTCTGACTTATCAATGAGAGGGGCCAGGAATCTGAAATACACCCATCTTGGACATCTCCACTCTCCCAGGGTATCATCATACTCCCTTCTCCATAACATCCTGGGGCTTTGCTGGGCTCAGCCAAGGTAATTAGGAACAGCTGCACTGAGGAAACTACAACCTAGTTAGACCAGATAAAATGAGGTCATTGGAGAAAGTAGAATCAGAAAACTTCATAATCAACAATTCAGGGACCATATTCATGGAGGCAACAACAGATCAAAATTTAAATCCCTAAGGAATGGTTTTACACAAATCTTCCATTTTCTCTATACTCTATGTTCTCTATACTCCATGCACCCTTTCCCCAAGGTCATCATGTTCAAGTTCTCCAGAGCCAACCAGAGAGAGAAAGTCAGAGCTTTCAAATAATGACACTGGAAAGGTTACCTGGTACCAGGGAGCTCAAGTTTCCCATCAACTAGAGACATCATCTGAAGGCCCCTGTGGAGCCTGCCAGGCCATTCTTCAAGATCAAGTTGTTAGAGCCCCCAGAGCTCCCTGGCCCACCCCTTTGGGGAGATCCTGGTTACCTGGGGTGACCTGAGTCAGGAGCAGGGTCACAGTCAAAATCAGGAGAAGGAGCTTCATGAATGACGAGGGCTCGGTGAGGAATAGGAGGCTTGTGGCCTGGCAAGGTAAGCAGAGGTGTCCATTCTGGGCAGTCCAAGCAGGTATTTATTGCCCCAAGGAGCATGGCACAGCCGTGATCAGCGAACCAAAAAGGAAACAGTCATTTGGGAATAAACTGGCAGGCAAGTAATCAACCACACTGGATGAGTGGCTATCGGATATTACCGCCCTCTTCTGCACTTCCAGAGGAGGCAAGAAGAGGGGAGAGGTGGAGTAGAAGTCTTAGCCTACTCTTTGAAGATCTAGGTGGGAGGTTGGGGGCAGAGAGATCATTGATTTTACTATTAATAAATTCAGTTCTGTAAATGAAGAGAGAGAGATCAGCAGAAAAGGAGTGACACTTGTATGTTCCTTGGTCTCTTTCCAGCAATAAGGACATCTTAGGATGTCCTCGTATATTGGTGGTTCATTTTAAGGACACTAAAGGGTGGACAGAAGCAGGGAAAAACCTTGCTAACTCCATGCCATTGCCACTGGATATTAAAATGTCAGCATTTGTGAAGTGGGATGAGCAGGAAAGCCTAAGTCTTTACCTTTAACTGTGCATGTTTAAAAAAACAAGTAGCGGGCCTCCCCTGGTGGCGCAGTGGTTGAACACTGGGTTGCAAAGCTGCCCACAGCTTCTGCAGCACCGGTTCGATCCCCGGCCACTGGGCAAGGGTCCCACATGGCACACAGACCTCTCTTGCCGCCCGCTGCTCCCCTCAGCAGTGTACTTCATCAGTCTGCCTGTTCTGCTCCCCACTCTGGCTCTGGTGAATCCTCTCACCCTCCTGCACTTTTGACTATACCCCAGTTCTTGCATAAATAAATAAATAAATCTTAAAAAACAAAACAAAACAAGGAGCACCCTCTTTGATGGCAGAGGAAAGACCATTTACTTTTATTGTGGCATTTATTATAAGGCATGGTAGACTGCATTATTGCTCCATTTCTTTATTCCACCTGACTCCACACATTTACCTAGGTCTCAGTGATTCAGAGACTTCTGAATCTCTCAGTGCTCACCACACTTCTTCAAATCAAGGATAAAAATTTCAGTCTCAGGTCTAAGACCCAGAGAGCTTACACAGAATCCAGGCTCAAGGACAGACCCCTCTGTGCCTGAGCTCCAGCAGGCACAGAGGTGAAGTGACCCCACCTTTTTATCAGAGTATGTTTCCAAAACTATCCCTGTTCCTAGATCTCCCACTCTTCCAGGGATGTCTTCACGAACTTCTTACCTTTCCTGTTACCTACCCTTTCAAGAAGCTGCTCTTACCCTCCAAACTTTATTTCATTTGTCTCCTTTCCCAGGAATCACCCTCTGCTGTCACCATCTCACGTTTTCATCTCTCCTGGAAGAAGCTTCTCTAACCTCTCCACTCTCCAAAACTGTCCAGCCATTTTTAAATTCTCTTGTGCATTGAGGACTAAGTTGTTAGGGAAGTGCTAGCAGAAGAACTAAGAGGGTTCTTGTTCCTAAAATGCTTACAGTTTCTTTAGGAAAATGGAAAGTCAACATTTTAAAATGAACTTCATATCCTTCCAAATATACTCAAGAAGTTTAATAAATAAATCAAATTTGATTAAGCAACTACTATGTATAGGGAACTCTACTGAGTACAAGAAATACAAAGCAGAATAGGGTACTGTCCCATAGTAGTAAACTATATTAAGATAAATTAGGCTATGATGCGGGAGCTAAAAAAAAGAATGTTGATGGCTGATAAGAATAGTTTACTTTTCACTCATCTGCATACCCATTACCGGTTGGGTGAAGACACTGCCCCACATCTTCTCACTCTGGACTCAGACTGAATAGCCTCTCACATGCCGCTGACTGCCATGGGAGAGGACGAGAGAGCCCTAAAGGGTCTTGAACTGGCCCTTATGTGCCCCGACCTTGAAAGCAGGATGCAGGCGTAACGCCCAGCTACAACAGTGTCATGGCCTCACCCTACCACAAGGGCTCAAAAAGTACGAGCCTATCACAGGCCTAGTATGCAGAAAGCCAGCAAAGTCTGAGGGACAGCATTAGTGACCTCCAAATACATGGCCACAGTAGTCATGCAGGATGATCACGGGAATAAAAACAATGCAAAGTAGTCTGTGCTGAGTCAAAATCAAAAAACATTGCATGGGCCTCCCTGGTGGCGCAAGGGGTTAAGACGCAACCTATGAAGCTGTCCGCAGCCACTGCAGCACGAGTTCGATCCCCAGCCAGGGAGCTACCCACATAGCGCAGCAGACCTCTCCTGACTCGCCTGCTGCTCCCCTCAGCAATGTAGATCCGCCTGTTCTTTTCCCCACTTTGTCTCTGGTGAATCCTCTCACCCCCCCCCAACACACACACACAACTCTGACCTGCACCCCAGTTCTTATATGTATAAATAAATAAATCTTTTTAAAAAATTACAGCAGAACAGAGGACATCACCCAAGGCCAGGGTGGTCAGGGAAGCCTTCATGGAAGACCAGTGAGGCTTGAAGGCAGATAAGTTTCAGAGAAATGGCGTAGAGGGGGAGGATGTGAGGGGCCATTCCAGATAGGGAGGCAGTGTGAGCAGCGGGGTAGTGGCAGGAATACTTATCAGCCAACTGGGAACAATGCACATTCTGCCTGGCTACCGCTAGGGAGTTCATGCGCCACATTATGCTAGAGAATTGCACAATTGTTAGAGAATTTTAATGTCCTTGAACATAAATCAAAGAAAGTTAGACTTGGTTTTTGGGCCAAAATCAGGAAATTGAAGGAGGCTACATAGGTAGTATCTAGCTTCTCCTTTTTCTCTTCCCATTTTAACCTGATAGATTCATTGGAATCTGCTTGATATGTTGAGTTTCATGTAAATTTTTACATTTAGAGTTTTCAAAATGTCTGGTGCTAGCAAGATGGGGCCCTTTTCTTCTTTACTTCTTTTTCCTTTGTCTCCTAAAGTCTTTTGCTATTTATAAAAATTACTTCCTCTGCTTTGTATTCAGAGAAATTCACAGGTAAAGAATTCTAACAAATACACTAGAAGTGTAGGTTTACCATGCAACTGAGAATAAAAATTTGCAGAGCTTATGGTAAAATAGACTCATAATAATTGCTAACAAAAATCAAAGGATTTTCTGCATGGGGTTGAATGAACCATGGAGGATACATACCATTTTTAATGATTTTTTGTTTGAAATATATTTTGTTTCTCTTTGTCCAAAAACTTCTTTCTATGAGTGGAGTTATGATGTGCAGCCCTGGTAAGATACAACTTTTCATGAGCAGGACTAAAACATTTGCTTTCTCTCTCCCTAACACCCCAAAATGTGGACTGTTAGTGAGTATTCATATTTCTCATGGCCGTGTGCTTATATGCATAAATCCAACAAGACTCTCCTTTCCCCTGTAATAGGCTTCCAGGAACATGGCTATATTACTGGGCTTTGGCTAAAATGTGCTACCTGCACTCGGGAGTCCAGATTGACCTCAGAATCTTTAAAGAAAAGACAATCTGAGTGCCTTACTGCAGGGTTTTAGGTCTAACAGGAAAAAAGGTCACCTTTTGGACATCTTGGACCTTCAGAAGAGAAACTTACCCAAAGATACATGTGTTACATACCAAAGAGACTTGGCATGGCCTGAGGTCTGAGATGCTAACAACTTAAACTTAAGATTCCTTATGAGGAGTTCCAGCAAAGCAGACTTTTTAAAGTATATGGATTGTATTTTGTTCTTGTTGTGCTTATGCAAAAAAAAAAAAAAAAAAAAACCTGGACAAGTTTATTGGCACTAGACTTAATCTGCAAACTAATTTTACTATAATTATTTGGTAGAATTGGAGTGAAGGTAAAGAAAAATATGTTTCAACTTATACACAAAGGAATATTGCTCAGCTATCAAAAAAGATACACTCATGCAATTTGCAGCAACATGGATGTAGCTGGAAGGGATCACGCTCAGCAAAATAAGCCAGAAAGAAAAAAAATACCAGATGGTCTCACTCATAGCAGGAATTTAAAAAAAACTAAATAAAGGACCAGGGAAAAGACTAATTATAATAAAGTAAAAATCAAAATCAACAAGCAACTATAAACCAGAGACACTACAGGGGCGAGGGTGGAGGGAGTAGGATCAAAAGAAGGGGTGGTGGGAATTGTATGAGGACTGTAACCAAGATGAAATTGCATACATTGTGCAAAAATGAAAAATGATGTAAAAAATACATAAAATAAAATAAAACTGCTCCCAAAAAAGCTATTTAAAAAAAGAAAGAAAAATATGTTTCAGTAATTTGTTTAGTGGACTTCAGACTCTGGTTGTCTTAAATTATTTACGAGGTCTTTTTTTTCCATTCTCCTGTAAATTGGACTGGATTCTGAATTTTTCTAATACCTGGTTATCACTCTACAAATTAACCTTTCCAGACCGCCCCCCATATTTTTTTGCTTCAACTGATTGAAAATTAAGACTATTTTTCTAAAACCTATGAAAATTGGTACTGTGGAATATGAACTTTAGAGAAATCACCAAGATGACTGTGACTAAATAAGGGGGTTACTGTTTTCCTAACACCTGATGGCATCAAACTGTAAACAGGGAAACAACAGTCTGAACTTACCCATCAGAAGATGCTTCAATCTGAATCTAGAAATCTCCCTTGGCTTCTCTCAAGTTTCTTGAATGGACTTGCTTCAATCTTTCAATGATAATGCTTCCTCTTTAAGAGGAAGTACCTCTTTTTTAAAAAAAAAGATTTATTTATTTATGCATTCAAGAGCTGGGGTACAGGCCAGAGATGCGGAGGGTGAGAGGATTCACCAGAGACAGAGTGGGGAACAGAACAGGCAGACTGACTGAAATACACTGCTGAGGGGAGCAATGGGTGAGGCAGGAGAGGTCTGCTTCACCATGTGGTTAGCTCTCTGGCCGGGCCAGGGCTCGGACTCGTGCTGCAGAGGCTGCGGATTGCTTCTTAGTGCATTGCTTAACCCCTTGCGCCACCAGGGAGGCTGTGGAAGTGCCTCTTATGTTTGCCCCAGCTAAGGATGCCTCTAGGAATTGCACTGACATCCCCGACTATTCATTGGGTTCAGTTGTCTGACATGGCTTGGTTTGACATTGTCTAAACAACTGGTGTGGTTCAGTTGTGGAATGGCTGGCATAGCATGCCATGGAACATCCATGCCATGGAACATCCTGGACAAAAGCATTAATGACATCCTCCTTGTCTTGGGGTAGGCACACTGTGCTGTTATTTTTTCGTGTTGCTTCTGTGATCTGTACACAGCTGCGTCTCAGCACCTAATTCCCGGGTCTTCCATCTATGTGGCATGACCACAGGCATGCCAAACTCCCCTTACATGGAAATTCAAAACAAAAACATCCTTTTCTTTAGGAGATCACGCTGCCCCTTCTCAGCAGGAAGTAGTGTGCAAGGATGACACCCGCACCTCATCTTCCTGATCTTAAAATGAAAATTCTTTTGAAAGAAGAAAGAACAATTGTTCTCTCTGAACCAAAAATGATGACCTGCCCTCTGCCTAGGCAGCCACTGCACTATATTCCTCAAGGGTGGTGGTGGGCTGGGTCGCTTGGCAATTAATGACGTATTTCTGTTCCCTTTGAGGATGGTGATAATGTCAGTGCCTGAGAAACACTGGTGCTCATTTTAAATGATAATGCAGAAAAGCACAACTATTCCAGAAATGCATCAACAATTTCATGTACATTTTCTACATTGTAAGGGGGAGGGAGCTTTAAAAAATCTGAAAATAAAAACCCAAATCCAAACAAAAACTTAAAAAATAAAAACCATGTGTATATATGGTTTTGATGACTACTTAAACTAAATCTATGAAAAATAAAATTATTTTAGAGAGAGAAAAAGAAGTAAGAATCAGGCCTGGGAATAAAATGCCTTCTTGGTTAACTCTTTAACTTCTATAATCACCTCAGAAATTAGGACCCTGTTATAATACTGTCTACCCCTAGTTTTTCAGTTGACATTCAAATAGATATAATATGCATTTCTGTTTATGTTATCAATGGTCCTGGAGGCAAGGAGCTGTTTGCAAGCTGACATGCAGACCAGTATTTAACCCCAGCACCTCTATATGTTAGTTATTTGAGCAGCATTGGGTAAATCGCACCATCAGCCTAAGCTCCAGTTTCCCTATCCATAACATAAAAGTGATGATATTATCTGCCTCTCGAGTTAGTTAGAAGGAATTTGTGAGGTAATGAATGCACACCCAGCACATAGTAAGACTAGTTTCCATTCTTCTGTGCACTTCCTTACCTATGCTTCTTCTGTGTGAGCTTGACTGTGTATACTAAGAGACAGGCACAGAAGTCAGCCAAAGGTATTTTAATAAAGCTCAGGAATCTACTGAAGGAATCCCTCAGACTGAGGGCAGGGTTATCTTTATCTTTGTGCCCTCAGGTTTCTAGCACTAATTAACATCAGTGTACATGTGGCTGGAACTTGGGTTTCACACAGCACAGTGTCCCAGTCATGCAGAAAACAAACACCCTTTCATCCTTGTGGCATTTATCACGACAGAAGCCATGAAGATTCCAACATCTTTCAGTGCTGCCTGATATAAAGAGAAAAAAAGAAGGGCATCAGTACTATCCCTGAAAGAAAACAGGTCCTGGCTTGAGAGAACTAACAGAAAAGGGGACCACAGAAGGAGGAAGCCCTCTAGATTTACAGTGTGGTGGTATAGTCTCATGTCCCTTCTGGGCCCCATCCCGATCCCGGTCCTACTAGAATGTTCTTTCTCACTGGTTCAGTGGATCATAATGATTAGTACCATGGACTGTTGCACACCTAGCACATAGTAGGTCTAATTTCTTCTCTGGATTTGAAATCAGCCTATACTACAAACCAACTAGAAGACCTTAAGCAAGTTACTTCCCTTCTCAGGGCATCAATTTCATCCTTCCTAAAAAAAGAAGATATAGCACCTGTCTCAAACACAATGAAATTGTGTTTTTAAACCACTAACATTAAATCAATTCAGATATGACATGATGAGACCTTTGAAAGAATTATAAATTTTTAAAAATCACTTCATAAGTAAAGACTAGAAGAAACACATAAACAAATGCAATAGCTAATGGCTTGAGATAAATACAGGATAGGGAAAAAAGGACATTTTAATAACAAATAAAGAAAGGAAGATAAAAAGGAATCAATGGAAAGTTACAAATATTGACAAGAGACAAAAGAAATCCAACATACAAATAGGAGCCACGAAAGGAGAAAACAAAATCAGAGAAATACAGTAAATATCACAAGATGCATTCAATAACTTTTCTCAAATAAAAAGCAGTTTTGAAAAAATACTAAGAGTTATTGAACATTAAAGAAAAAGAATGTGTTAGGCATCCATGTCAAGAAACAAAATGCAATGAGGGAAAGAAAATTTAGCTACATTTAGACTTTTGACAATGCTTTATGCCAGGAAAAAAAAATGGGATCACATATTTAAAATACTCAAGGGTGGGGGCCTCCCCTGGTGGCGCAGCGGTTAAGTGCTGGGTTGCGAGACTGCCCACAGAGGGTAAAATGTAAGCAAAGGCTATTATATCCATCAAAACCGACTTCCAAGTACAAAGGACAAAACAAACTGCAGTCAACATACTGAAATTCAGGAAATATTGTCCCCATGAGTCCATCCTAAGGAACCTGCTAGGGAAAGAGTTTTAATCAACCACACGAGAGGATCATGGACACTGGACAAGTCATGAATACAAACTTCTGTAACATAACAGCTTGTCCCAACAGCAGTATGGTTGCAATAATTATAAATATTAAAGAGAAAATATAAATGTAAAACTAGAATTAAGGAAAGGTTTTAAAAGGAGGAAGAAGCATGTGTAATGGATGTATGCTCTGACAATACAGATACAATACAATATAAAAATGGAAAGTATATAAAATATATATTTATTTTAAATATATATTTAAATATATATATTTTATATTATATAAAATAATATACTTATATTATTTTAAATAAAATACAAAAATGGAAGAATAATGGTGGACGCATATGCAGAAAGCTAAGTGATTTAAGGGACTACTTTGAGAAAGGGTCATTATTGCCTCCCTTCCCCCTCCTTTTCCCACTAGTCCACCTCACATACCAGACCTCCTGCCCCTGACCTCTGCAGCTGACCAAACAGTGTGTGAGGCAGGGTGGGGGTGACGATGAGGGAAAGGTGTTGGCGTTATAGTTGGTGCTCCACCTGCCAGCCCATCCTCCAGACCACTCATCAAGACTACTGTCCCCTCCCTCCCGCCCCCAGAGAGGTCTAGGTTACCTGGAATGGCCTGTGACAAGAGCACCAGCACAGCCACAGTGAGCAGAAGAGACTTCATGATCAGGCAGCCCACAGGTTAGTCTCAGGTCTGGCAAGCTTTCAAGCAAACGGAGGAGAGTGTGGTGAATTCTCTCCTCCCTCTGCTCAGCTGGGACACGTGCCACTTACACGTGCCCTCAGTGCCCACAGGCACAGTCCGCCCTGGAAGAGCCTGCCTCCCTCAGTGATGTCTCGTCACTATCCCGACACTCCCACACCCATAGTCAGGCCATAAAACCCTGATCTGAAATGCCTCTGCTTAGTCGCCTTCACTGCTTAGTGTCCAGCAGGGAGAAATCATAGGCAGCCAGTCGTGACTGGGAAGGGGAACCTGGAGGCCTGAGGTGGTAGCCTCACAGTTGAGAATGGAGTGAGCATAGCTGACTGGCCTTCGAGTCTCACTTCTCCTGAGGAAAAGCCCATGCAAGTCCCCTTGGCCCAGCTAACAAAAGGAGAGCACAACCCCCTCCGGCCTTCTCACCGCCCTGGCAACCCCTTCAGCCTCTCTACAAGGTCAAATCCTCGGCCTTGTGGCGCCAGAGTCATCCAAGCAAGTTGTCTACTACGTTCTCAGTAATTTCTAAGACTTCTTTTAAGATTTATTTTTATTTATTTATGCGTACAAGAGCTGGGGTACAGGTGCAGGGGGTGAGAAGATTCACCAGAGACAGAGTGGGGAGCAAAACAGACTAAAATACACTGCTGAGGGGAGCAGCGGGCGAGACAAGAGAGGTCCTCCTGTTTTCTGGTTATTAAGCGTACTTGCAGCGACGCTTGGGACCCACTGCTGTGGGGAGACTGAAAGAGCAAAAAGGGGAAACGTCTCAGGCATGACAGGTGCAGCCCCCACAGCCAGGCCAAGGGTACTGACAGGAAGAGAATGAGTTTTCAAAACCTAAGCGTTCAGAAGAGGGGCCTTGAATAACTTGGTTCTTGGGTCTCTGCAGTGAGGCCCGGTGCCTGGTCAGTCACTCAGATGATGGGGCTGTTGGGGGGTTACTTCTGAGGGCATCCCTAGGCTGGTGCTGGGAGCTTCATCTCACATCACCGTTCTCCTCTCAGTTTTGGCGCCAGCCACTTCATAAGTCTCATTTTCAAGGCCAACATAAGCCTTTGCACAGACTTCCCTCTCCCTGGAACACCTTTGGCTCATCTGCCTGCTGTTTGGGGGCTTTATTCCTCCAAATAGGGCTCGGTATCACTCTGTGAAGTCTTCTCGGGCCACCAGGGCTCCGTGTGCGTGGCACCCCCTTGTGGCCCTCTGGTTCCGGGGCTCAGAGCTGGGGGAGGACTTGTTCTGAGGATGAAGGACCTGGTGGCCTGATTGCTCCCTGCTGAGCGGGATGAGGACATTTGTGGTGCACACTGCGGGCTCAGCAGGCGCGGGGGCAGTACCCGTTGGCAGCGGAGCGCACACGTGGGTGCCATCTCTCCTGGCTGGCCAACGGGAGCGTGAGCCCGGGAAGCCAGAACTCTCCCCCATTCACCTCCCGACCGCTAGACACGCAGCTCCACCCTGGGCCTCTTCCCGCCATGAAGCTCCTCTTGTTGACTTTGGCTGCTCTGCTGCTCTTGTCCCAGATCACGCCAGGTAACCTGGACATCTTCATGGAAGGGGCAGGGGCTGGAGAAGGAGACCCAGCACGGAATATTGTGGGGGGAGAGGGGAGGACAGGCTGCCCAGGCCCCAGAAGTTCAGAGCCGGTGGAAGAGGCGCCTACACCCGCAGCAGGTGCCAGATCTGAGACACCCACTGCAACACCCGGAGCTTCACTCTCAGCCGCCCCATCTGGCACTCCTGGGGGCATGTATAGGTGGTCTAGTGGGGAGAGAGTGGAGGGGTGGGCGAGAGAAGGAGGAACAGTCATCAATAGTGACCCTTCCATAGAGTAGTCCCCGGAATAATCTAGGCTTCGTAAAGATGGCAACCTCCTTAACAAGAGAGAAAGGTCATAGTCACAGGATGTTGCAATCGCTGTCTTCTCTGTTGGGAGCTAGGACAGCAGGCATGAGTGGCATGGGCCTGGGGGAGCTCACCAGGGGAGACAATAAAAGCATTTACAATCCAGAGTGACATGAGCTGTGATGGGGGAGCCAGGGGCCTGGGGCGCTCCTGGGAGGGACTGCAGCGCTGAGCGTGAATGTAGAGATCAGGAGGGGAAAGAGAAGATGCAAAGGTAGGAAAGGGAGTTCCCGGCAGAGATCAGCTTGTGCAAATGTCCAGATGTGGGCGAGAGCTTGGTCTCCTCAAGGAACTGGCACAAAACGGAGGAGCAGGTTAGGCATGGACGCACTCAAGGGCCAGGTGTTGATTGATGGGCCTTGAATGCCGGGTGAGGGAGCCATGTTCCAAGCCAGCCCGAGATACCTGGCTCCTCCTGCTCACCTGGCTGAAGCTCCTGGCCACCCCAAGGCTTTCCTCTAACCTTTCCGGGCGGGGTTCTGGACAGTGCAAATTTCCTTAAGCAAGCTGACCCCGGTGTTCTGTGTGCCTGTGGCCAGTGCCTGAAACACCACTCACTGGGGGCAGAGAGGAAAGCCCCCAACCTGGATTAAAAACATCCCCGCCATTTTCTAATTCTGCAGACACCCCCCACCCCCAAACAAACAATCAGCTGCTGGGGTTCAAATTCCTCATTTCTCAAAGAGCTGCAATAGCATGTGTGTAGTGTGGGGTTGAGGGAACAACTTTGAACACACTGAAATGTTGGTGTGTGAAAGAATGTAGCTTCTTTCTTTGCTATGACTCATCTGAATTTTCCCAGGACCCTGCATTCTGCTGATGGGCAGTTTGGGGACAAGGGAGGAGGGGAAGGGGGCTGTGCCGCAACTCTGCGTTAATATGGTCATCTTTACTGGTTAAAACAGTTAATTCAGTCTCTTTTGCATGAACACACAGTCTTTCAGAGCTTCTCCCTTCTGCTTTCCCTCTTCCCAGGATAGTTTCTGGGTTTAGGGGAAAGTAACTTGATATATCACTAATTAATTAATTGGCTCATTCAATAATAGGCTTGAACAGTTTCAAGTTCCAGGCATTGTGGCAGGTGAGGTAGACCAAATTTACATTGTACTGAGAGACTAAGAAAATAAATGTCACATATGGAATGTCAGGTGATGTGTAAAATGAGCAGAATTACAGGAAATGGCATAGCGAATATTAGGGGAGCTGGATTTGCCACTTTAAGGGGTGCAAATGGAATGACTCACTGTGACCTGAGGGTTATGTGGGTCAACCAAGTGGATTTGTGGGGGAAACATTCAAGCTGAAGGGAACATCCAGTGCAAAGGCCCTGCGGCAGGAGCATGTGGAATATGCTTTGGGAAGGGTCCTGGACTAGACCTTCACTGACTTCTGAGAGGAGCCCCTCTTTGTGTGTGGTGAGTGAGTGTCCTGCTGGCACCTGGACCCCATGACTGAAGACATCTCCTGGTCTTGTCAAGAGCCCCACTGACTCTGAGGTTTCATCTCAGCCAAATAGTCCATCTGCGCCCTTAGTTTAGGCCATTCATACCCCACTGCTTCTGCACAGGGTCTACCCTTGGCAGGTCCTTCAGGCTCTCTGCTTGTGTCTGGTTCCCTGTCTCCACCAGAGATGCAATAGAACTTGGGAGCCTTCTGGGTACATATATATATATATATATATATATATATATATATTTTAAAGATTCATTTACTTATGTATACAAGAGCTGGGGTACAGGCCAGAGATGCGGGGGGTGAGAAGATTCACCAGAGACAGAGTGGGGAACAGAACAGGCAGACCAACTGCAATACACTGCTTAGGGGAGCAGTGGGCAAGTCAGGAGAGGTCCGCTGCGCCATGTGAGTAGCTCCCTGGCTGGCTAGGAATCGAACTTGTGCTGCAGAGGCTGCAGATTGCTTCATAGTGTGGTGCTTAACCCCTTACGCCACCAGGGAGGCCCCTTCTGGGTATATTTTATGCTGTGAGAGAGAAGAGGGAGATGTTCAACCACTTCCCTCAGGCATTGATGAAAACAAAACAAACAAAAATAAAATTATGAACAGACAATGTTAGCCAAAGTAAAAAAGGATGAACCAGTATGGCTGAACCTGGAGAACATTATGCTAAGTGAAAGAAGTCAGACACAAAAGGCCACATATTACATGATTCCTTCAGCATATGTATCCAGAACAGGCAAATTAATGGAGAGGAGGGCCCATTTATAGTGGCGCAGGGCTGGGGGAGAGAAAGTTGAGAATTTTTTTTCTATGGTAACACCAACCACATGTGACTGTATTTATTTATTTAAAAATTTGTTAGGGGAAACATTGATATACAGCATTGTACTATGATTTCTGCATAGACTACATTATCCTCACCAGCAAAAGTCTGGAAAACGAGAATTTCTGGCGGGTGCAGCAGTTCATTTTGGGATGATTAAAGTGTTCTGGAATTGGATGGTGATGATGGTTGCACAACACTGTGGATGTACTTAATACCCTTCAACTGCACACCTAAAAATGTTTAAACTAGTCATTATGACACAATTATTTTTTAAAAGTAAAGAAGGAAAAAAAGAGAAAGGAGGGCTGGGTTGAAGGCCAGGGAAGCGGAGAACCCCCCACCCACCTCTACCCCACCTCCCACCCCCCCCACCCCGCCCCATCTGTTTTAATCCTTTTGCATCTTTTCCCACCCAAACCTGTGTCTCCTCTTAGATCTGACAGTGTCCCTATTCTTCTTTCTTTTTCGTGTCAGGTGGCACCCAAAAATGCTGGAATCTTCATGGCAAATGCCGCCAGAGATGCTTCAAGAGGGAGAGGGTCTATGTTTACTGCACGAATAATAAATTGTGCTGTGTGAAGCCCAAGTACCAGCCAAAAGAAAATCCATGGACTTTTTAAGTCCTTGGAGCCTCAAGCCATGAAAATGCCACCGGCGCTACCCTGAGGTTGACCCCAGTAGATTCCTGAGCTGTATCAATAAACGGCCGCTGAGCCAACCCTGTGTTTGCCTCTCAGTCTCCCCCAGTGGCTCTCAGGAGGTCCGTTCCGGTGGCCCCTAAAGTCAAGCTATTTCCCCCTTGCTTCTGCTTCCTCAAATTTGACTCCACCCCTCCTCCCACCAGCCACCCTGTCCATTCTCTCTTCAACCTTGACTTTTTTTTTTTCTACATGGGGAGGAAACCTCCCCCCAACCCACCCCCACTCCCAACCAGAGGCTTCAACCTTGACTTTTAATAAGGCATCTTTTCAGCTTCAGCTCCAATTAAAAACAGCTTTATTCTCTGCATTTCCTAATTTGAATTCTTTTTTTTTTTAAGTTTATTTATTTGTGCATACAAGAGCTGGGGTATAGGCCAGAGATGCGGGGGGTGAGAGGATTCACCAGAGACAGAGTGGGGAGCAGAACAGGCAGACTGACTGAAACACACTGCTGAGGGGAGCTGAGACAGGAGAAGTCTGCCTCACCATATGGGTAGCTCCCTGGCTGGCCGGGGATCAAATTCATGCTGCAGAGGCTGCACATTGCTTCATAGTACAGTGCTTAACCCCTTGCGCCACCAGGGAGGCCCCCAATTCAAATTCTTAAAACAGAAAATCTAGTTGATCTAGTGCATCATGTTGGGCTAATCCATTTCACAGGTGGTCAGCCAGCCTCGGAGATTAACTCGACTTGGGAGGCACCCACCTCCTGTCCAATCACTTGTGCCTGGGGGAGAGAAAGGGGAGTCTCCTGGTCTGAGGGTGTCTGTCCCTTCAGTCAAGGCTGTGATTGTCCCTTCAGTCAAGGCGGAGAATATAAATGGACGAGCCATGCCTAGACCGGTTTGCTCACATCTCCATGCAGGCTTCCATAAACCTCTGTAGGGGGAAGAGTCTGCTCTTCTCCCCATGTAATGCTGAACGCCTATGCTTTGAAGAAAGTGAGCATCAGTGAAATATAGGGCCTTCTTTAAAAAAAAAAAAGAAAAAAAAAGATTTATTATATTTATTTATGCATATAAGAACTGGGGTGTAGGCCAGAGGTGCACACAATTCGCAGAGGCTGGTGACAGACCGACAGCACTGAGACTAACACCTGCACCACCAGGGAGGCCCAATATAGGGAGGACTGGGCCTCCCTGGTGGTGCAAGGGGTTAAGACTCAGCACTATGAAGCCTCTGCAGCACGAGTTCGATACCCGGCCAGGGAGCTGACCCACATGGCGCAGCAGACCTCTCCTGTCTCACCCACTGGTCCCCTCAGCAGTGTATTTCAGTCAGTCTGCCTGTTCTGCTCCCCACTCTGTCTCTGGTGAATCCTCTCACCCCCCGCATCTCTGGCCTACACCCCAGCTCTCGTATGCATAAATAAATAAATCTTAAAAAAAAAACTCAGAGGACGAGAACAACCTTTCTCCATCGCTTCTAATCTGTTGGTCCTACTAATCTGTTGGGGAGAACTTGACGTTCACTGGGCCCTTTTAAACCGAATGCTCCCTCTATAATAAATATTGTGTAATTCTTCCTTTCTGTCCTAAAATTAAATTCACAAATACATTAAATTACATAATTTCAAGAAAAATCAAAATAAGCCCTAACTATAATATAAAGGAGGAGGAAAGAAATGATTTTATAATAATATGTATGTCAGTGGTTAAATACTCTTAAAGACTTAATAAAATAGTCAAATCTTGTGCCATCTCAAAACTACCCGGAGCATTTCTATCTGTATCCTGAGAAGGTGGCATTTCCAAAACGGTGAACAGCTTGGGAAAGTTCTTGCCAAAACAAAATATAATCAGACCTTGATTTTCACAGTAGTTTCATTCCAGGAAAATTCAATGTGCAAAAATTACTAACAAAATAGCCTTACCTCCTGGGTTCAGGGAATAAACGTGTTTCGTGCCAACATAAATATCGAGCACAACAGTTGGATTTTGTTTGGGAAATGTGTCAATCTTCATTTTCCAGGATAGTCACACACTGCAAGACACTTAGCCTTCCAGATCTCCAAACTAAGTTCCAGTACGGGTCCTATTCATTTTCACAAACAAAAACCACCACCAAAAAAATGCTCCCAACAAATTCCCAAAATAACCACTTGAGGGCAGTATCTCCCTTTTGAGTACCATTGACTCGCCATGGACGTCCTGTCCCTGGCTGGAGCTGCTTCAGGAGCACAGATAACTCAAACTCAACTGCATGCGGTCAGACAAAAAAAAAAAAAGAGATAGAGAAATAACTTTTTTGAGTCTTATTTCCCCTCTGCTCTGAATGATTTATATTATACTTTCATATGATATTTATATATTTTTCTCAATCTTATTTGCTTAAAGTTTAAGATTGTATTTTTTTCTTGAAATAATTTAAAAAAACAATTTCCCACCACCATCCCTATACCCCAGAGGCCCTTACTGTTTCCTCTGTTAACCTCAGAAGTTTCATTCTGTTTATTAGTGACTACTAGAGTTTCAAAGGATTTTGCTTTGTCAAATTATCTGCTATGTAAACATCCAACATTTGTCTTTGTCATTTTGATTGCTTTACTGCTCATAATTCCCTTGAACTCCTTCCATCTTGGTGTGAATAGCAACGTTTTGTCTTTCTCTATGGCTGAGTAGTGTTCCATTGTGTGGATATCCCATCTTCTTAATCCAGTCTCCTATCAGTGGGCACTTAAGCTGTTTCCAGGTGCTAGCTATTGAAAATCATGCTGCAATAACACTACTTATAATAGGTAAAACCTGGAAACAACCCAAATGCCCAAAAATAGATGATTGGATCAAGAAGATGTGGTACATATACACCATGGAATATTACACAGCAATCAAAAAAGATAAACTCATGCCATTCACAGCAACAAGGATGGAGCTAGAAGGAATTATGCTCAGTGAAATAAGTCACAAGGAAAAAGCAAAATATCAGATGGTTTCACTTATAGCAGGAATATAGGGGAAACAAATAAGACGTCAGTGTAAAAAATGATAACAATACAAAACACAACAAAACAAATTTTATCTCACTTATAAATCAGAGACCTCCTGCAGGGGAGGAGGAGGGAGAGGGATCAGAGGGAGGGAGGGAGGAGCACAGGGGACTGAGGTGATGGTGCATGGATACATGGGGAAGGAAATTCTGTGGGGACTACACGGGGGCGGGGAGAGCAAACATTGTTTAAAAATGAACAATGATGTAAAATATATATAAATAAAAAATTGGAAATTTTTTTTTAGATATAAAAAAAGAAAATCATGCTGCAATAAACATTGTGGAGCATATAATTTTTCAGTTCATGGTTTCACATTCTTTGGATAGGGGCCCAAGAGTGGGATTTCTGAGTCATGCATACAGTATTTCCATTTTTAGTTTTTTAAGGTAAATCCAGTTCATTTTCCAAAATGGCTGTGTCAACATACTTTCCCACCAACAGTTTAATAGGGCCCTCTTTCTCCACATCCTCTCCAGCCTGGATTTCTTTTATTTCTGTAAAATAGCTGCTAAAATATCAATATTTGCCCACTCTATATTAGGTTGTCCTCTTACTGATTTTAGGAGTTCTTTATGTTGATATATTCTGGAAATGAATCATTTGTCAGATATATGTATTACAAATATGACCAAATAAGCCAGAGGAATCCCATCTTGAGTCACTGCTGAGTGGGTGGAGTCGGGCATTGTTGGTGCCTGCGTAGTAGCTAACACACCTGGCAATGAAGCACCTGGAACATCATTGTGTGATTCTGCTGGAGAGAGATATTTATTTGTCACAAAGATAGCCCCAAAGCATAATCAACCAGTTCCTCTGGCGCATCACCAGAGAAATATGATGTGTTCTATTGATGAAGGAAACTTGCTGTGCTGTCAGTCTCCAGAAATGTGACTTTCTGATTTTCAAGATTAATCGACAACTGTTGCATGGCCCTTAGGCTTAAATGTAGCCCTGACACAATAGATAATTCCAGTCAACACCCTGATATCAGAAACCCAGGTGGGGGCCTCCCCGGTGGCGCAGCGGTAGAGCGCTGGGTTGCGAAGCTGCCCGCGGCCTCTGCAGTGCCCGTTCGAGAGGGTCCCACATGGCGTGCAGACCTCTCCTGCCGCCCGCTGCTCCCCTCAGCAGTGTACCTCGGTCCTTCTGCCTGCTCTGCTCCCCGCTCTGGCTCTGGTGAATTCTCTCACCCTCCTGCGCTTCTGACTGTACCCAGTGCATGTATAAACAAAACAAACAAACAAGCAAACAAATGAATAAAGAAAAACATGCCTCTATTAAAAAAAAAAAAAAAAAAGAAACTTACCTTGAACCCCCCCCTACAATTATCATAACCTTTTTTGTTCTTTTCCTTTCTTATAAGCCCAAGGTTATCCACCTGAGCAGGAGAATGAGAAATTCCTCTAACCTCCACTGTAATTCTACAATAATAGAAGACTCTGCTGCATGTGGAAATATATATATACATGACAGAAATACATGTCTATTACATAAATAATAATATATGCATATATGTACACATCCTAACAACAGGTATACAAAAAGGTAACAGAGACGATGAAAGAATGGTGAAAATTTTTAAGCTTATCTGGCTTTTATTTTCCCACATATTTTCTAAACATATTACTCAAGCAATACAAATTGGAAAATTTTAAAGAAATTTTAGGAGTTACTTTCATGCTATAAATCTTATTTTGAAGGAATGTCCAAGCACATATGGAAATGTTCATGATATACAGAAATGAAAATATGTCATTTTACTTGTAAGTCACATTTAACTTTTTTTTTATTTGTGGGTATTTGTGTGTTGTGAGAATAATGATGGTTTTTGTTTTCTTTTGTTTCTGTTTTCTAAGTTTTCTCCCCCAAAAAATGCATTACTTTTGCAATTAGAAAGAAAATGTAACTTTAGAAGCGCAGATACAGGTAAGTCTGAGAAGCAAAATCAAATACCAGAGAACCAGGAAGGAGTCCAGCGCCAGTGTTTACTGGGCTCATGCCCTGAACAATCACTCCGCTAAGATGTTCCGTTGCCTTACAAAAAAGGAGAGGCTGTGAGGCCGCGGTTAGCATTTGGCAAAGGCTGACTGAGATGCTCATTAACTCAGTCATCCACTGAATCTGTGGGAAGTATCTGGGGAGTATCTGATCTCTGAGGTCCCCCCACTCACCTGGCCTAGCTTGCACACCACTAGCGCCAGGGAACTGCCTTCCTCCCAGAACTTCCTCTCCATACTGGTCCATCCTACAAATGTGTGGCTATTGTTCTAGTCAGAAACAACCTTGACTGACTTGAAATCCAAAGAAGTAAGTCCAAGTTCTGGTTCTGTGCCTCAGGAGATGTGTGACCTTGGACAAATCACTTTCCCTCTCTGGACTGGGAAGTCTCTTGAACCTTTCACCTTGGAAGTTTTTTGTCTCCTGGACTTGTTAGCTACACCCTTAGGCGTTAGGAGGCTGAGATAAGACTGAGCTGAGGGTCTGTCGAGACATGGGTGGGAAGCAGCCCGTGTGAGGTTATAGTTTCAAAAAACTAGTCTGTTCCGTCTTCATCCAGCCCTCAGGCCAGTGGCTGCCGGTGACGAGATGCAGTGAGAGAAACAGGCGGACAACAAACAGGTAGCTTGGCTTCCGGGGTATTCCTGCCAAGAAATGCATAAGCTGGGTGCAGTCATGAGGAAAGATCAGACTCAACCTGAGGAACAGTCCAGAAAAAACTGGCCTGGGCTCTTCAAAAACACCATGAAAGGCTGAGGGATTGTTCCAGATGAAAAGAAATCAAAGAAATGTGACCATTGAATATGAGCTCCAGAGATTTTCCCTTGCTATAAAGGACTTCTCGAGACTATCTGGTCAAATCTGTGTAAGATCTGAAGATTAGACAATAGAATTATGTCAATATTGATGTCCTGGCTTTTGGAATTGTACTGCGTAAGTTATAAGGTTACCATTTGGGAGAAATGGGTGAAGGAGCTGCAGGAATTCTTTGTGCTGTCCTTTTGTCTTTTCTGAGTCTCGGGTAGGCCTCTGGGAAGTGATAGCGATTGAAGTGTTTCCATTTACTTAGCCTTACAAAGTGCCAGATGATCTCATCTGACCCCAGAGCTACCGGGGAAGTTTTTCTCCTTTTGCAGAGAAGGACCCCGACATCAGACATAGGAAGTGAGGCTGAATCACTCGTCTGTGGCCTGCACATGGCAGAGCTGGGCTGTGAACTGGAGTCTGACTCCTCCCTCCCAGAAATCATCACTGTCTTCCCCGAAACAAGGCAGTGACTCCCTCACTGGCCATCTGGGACTGTGCAAAGAGCAGAGTTTCCTCATCTCTGAAACAATGGGGTTGTGGGGCTTGGGAGGAGGCGTGTCAGAGTGCAGAACTAAATTTAGTTCAATTCAGTCTAAAACTTGGTCTAATTCAACAATCTAAATAATCTCTTGAGATTTCTTGAGTTCGGAGATACTCAGTCTCTTTAGTGTGATTCTCAGGCTTTCAGGTTCCCCCGCTCCTTCTGCTGATCACCCCCCAGGCCTCTGCTGGGATCTGGGTGACTGGGACCTGTCACTATAAACATCCAATGTGAGATCATCTGAAACTGAACTGGCCTCCCTGGGGCTCATTGAGGCTGGTGTCACCTGTCACCTCATGTCAGCTCTCCAGCTCTGCATGGTTCTCTTCTCATCTCTGGGGTTCTTACAGTGTCTGTTTTTGAGGCCCAACCCACCTCCACCTCTACCATGGTGCATCCTAAAACAGGCCCACTGGACCACCCAGCATCTAAAGGCAGTTGCAGATGCCACCTGACATGCAGGTGGCCCATATTGTTATCACAATAATTCTATGTTTCTATGCCAGCTGGCAAAGACCTGCCGCCCAAACCCCTTCACTCCAGCTGCCTCAGCCATAAGAAGACATGAGGTCCTCTTATACCTCCTGTACCTTCAGAAACTAAAGGGTTAACATGTAGCACAGCAGGTAGCCTCCAAGCCTCTGCTCCAGCCCCAGGCTCAGCCTTCCTTCTAGTCAAGTATTTAGAATGTCCTCACTCCATTCTTAGCATTGCAGAGTCCATTTTCTTACACCAAGGTGACTTTCAACTTCTCCAGTCTCCAAAGACAGCAGACAAGAGCGTCTCTGCCTTGCTATTCCCCTTGATTTGCCCTGTGCACCTGCCCCTTGCAGGTGTCAATCCCAGAGACAAGGTGACCAACACTGAGTGTCTCCCCCACTCCCTCTCTGCCAAGCTTGGTGACTACAGAGGCTCAAGCAGCCCAACACTGTCTTTCCCAGCCTCCTGCATGTCAGGCGTAGCCATGAGGCAGGTGTGGCCCATAAGAAGCAGGCAGCAGACTGTTGAGATGGTTCCCGGGGAAGTTTTTGCTTTTCTGGTAAAAGAGAGAGACCAGTCCACACCATTCCACACCAGTCCACGCCAGTCCATGCCAGTCCTCCCTGTCCCTCTTTCTGCTTTTGTTAGGGGGGGATTGTTAGGGGGAAAGGCTGTCCTGAGCTAATTCCACGCAGGCTTTGTGGGCTCCACCCCCACCCCAGACCAAAGCCATCAGGACATTGGGAAAGACAAATCCCGTCACCACCAAAGGGAGGGTTGCTGGGACCTGAGGGTGGAGTTAAGCAGCCAGGTTTGGTATAAAAACCAGACACGTGGGTCTTGGGGGTCTTTCTCTTGGCTTCACAGCTCGTGGCTCGCCGCCAGCTCTCAGTGCCATTGGGATTCCAGGTCAGCAGATCGGGTAGGACGCATTTAAGACTTTATCTCCCTCTTTTCTCCCTGAGTTGTACATTCCCTCATTTCCCCTTCCCTTGTAAATAAACCTTTTATTAACCTTTCGTGTGCGCCTGCAATGGAGTATTAAGTCCCTTATAAGTGCGCGGGTGAGGACCCACAGTCAGGCAACCCATTTTATATCGGGGCTGCCCTGTAACACTTTAAACAATGACAAGAAGCCCAAAGTTTCAGTGACCAAATACGACCCAACAGGTTCCTGGGAATGGCTGGCTACCTCCACATTTTTTTGTCAGAGAATTAAGTCCCTGCATGCTGAGTTTCCTGTTTCTTCAAACACAGTCCTAACACAGGGTAATTAGCAGGGTTTCTAACTACACCCTGCCTCTGCTTGTCCCTCCACCCCACCTTGCTGTCCCCCCAGTCTGGAAGAGGCTGTCTATCCCTCTAGGACCCCAACCTGCTCACGTGAAAACTGTTTTCATAAAATCTTTCTGGTCCTTTTCACCTGGGCAGGCTCTTAAAATGCTGAAATAGAAGATAAAGGAACACAGACAAATCCTTTCATGCTCCGCAGGCCCTGCCTTCCACACAGATCTGCCACAGCAAGCTGAACCAGAAGCACATTGTTAACTCTATAATTATAAATTTGCATTACAATGAACTCATTTTTATTACTATTAACTCTTATTAACTCTGCCTTTTTGCATGCTTTCTATAAAGTCACACTTCTGATATTATAATTAAATGCATGAGGAGACTGAGGAGGCTTACAGAGGTTGAGTTGACAGAGAAAAGATGATACAGGCAGGACTGGAAGCATTTATAAAGGTCAATAATGCCCACTCTGTCCAGGAACCTCACCTTCCTCCACCAATTATCCTCCTACATCCTGGACCAAACCCAACCGCACCCCAGGTCCCAGAGGTTGGGGGGAGAGAGAGCAGGCAGCAAGAGGAACGGCTGGCAGCATGTGTTTTATTGCAGAGTTAGGCACCAGCGCTGGAAGCAGCTACTTCTTTTCAGCCTTGAAGGGCATGGGCGACTTGAGTGCATAGGGAAGACAGCACAGGGAGCTGTCCGGGCACAGGTGCATGTAGGTTTCCATCTTCGAGCAGTAAGTTCTACAAGCCCCTTGGCCCTTCCAGCATCGTTTGAATTCACTTCTCCCTGCTCAGAGGAAGAACACAAGTCACGAAGCAGCTCCTGTGTGGCGGGTGAGACCACTGTTCACAGGTTTGACCACAAATCAAAGGTCACAGGTTGGGTCTCTGGTCTCCCTTGTTGGACCCATGTGGCCCAGCTCAAACCACTGGCCACAGATTTAAACAGAGGAGAGAGTAGACCACAGGGCCCAGATTAGACCACTGACCATAGTTAGGCCACAGGTCACAGGTCAGACCATGGGCTACAAGTGAGAGATTCACTTCTAGGCCAGGTGAGCCTATACCCAGGGACACTCTAAGTACCTTTCAGAATAAATTCATGGGGTTATAGGTGATCATATTACAAGCCTTGTTATACAGATAAGGAAACTGAGGGACAGAAAGATTAACCACTTTGCCCAAGGTCACACAATCATTTAGGAGCAGAGCCAGGATTCAATCCCAGATAATCTGACTCCTGAATCACACTAATCACATTGATACAAGCTACTTCACACACAGAGAGGCCTATTTAACACTGGGATTTAGTGAAGGACTGTCTTTGACCATGCACCGTGGAAAAGGTAAGATTGGGAAAGAATCTGCCCTATGCTTCCTCCAAGGGCCCATGGCCCAGCATGGGGTGGAACCTCTGTAGGTGTTCACTCATGGCACCCTGGGTACCATGCCAGCACCTTCCAGAAGTCAGCTTCCAGCAAGGAGGACAGTTAACACCCAAGTAAACTGTGAACTGAACTGTGGTCTGTGCTATTATGACCAGCTAGGGCAGATGTGCAAAGTGAGAAGAATGGAAGGCCCCTTAGGTGGGTCTGCCCAGCACAGCACTATTTCTAGAATACGACCCAGCAACTTGGAAAAGTCAGGACTATGTGAGAAGTGGAGGGGAAGACTTCCCTGCCTCTCCCTAGATTAAAGAGGCCCCTTGAATCCTCATATGACACCTTGGGCCCACCCAGGGTGTCATTCAGCCCCATATACCAGCCCGTCCTTCTATCTCACCATGGTGGAGATCTTAGAATGATACAGAGATGACCTCAAAGTCTCCATGTGGCCAAAAACCCACGCTCTCTGGGTGGTACAGTGGTTCGTAGCATTGGTATGAAACCAGCTCAGGCCTCCTGGGTCCAAATCCCAGCACTGCCATTTGCCAGCTTAGTGGCCTGGGCCTCAGCTCCTCATCTGCCAACACTCTTTAAGAGGGCAGTTGTAGGAGATTTGATCATTTTAGCACAGTTCCTCGCACTAGTAAATATTCAATAAATGGAAAGCGAGGTTATCGGAACGACGGTTTGGAGGGCTGGAACAACCTGGGCTCATTCTAGGCCAACCCTCTCATTTTACAGATAAAGAAGGGAAAAGGACCTGCCCCACTTTCCTGACCAGTAAGTGGGGGTCCGGAACAGAACCCAAGACCCTGACCCCAAGGCCAGGCCAGTTCCTCCAATAACTGCTCTGAACATATCACATCTCAGCCTGCCCTTCACCCCCACATAGAGAAGATGGTATTTTCTCCCACATGAACTGCGATCTCCTACTCATGCCTTTGACTTCATCTCCCCCCACTCTCCCCTTGTGCTCCCCACGGCAGCCACACGGGCCCCTGCAACTCCTCAGACACACGTCACCCTCCTGCCGCCGCTGTCCTTATTGCTGCCTCTCCCTTGTATTCACACTGCATTCAGATTTTTGCTCAAAACCTACCTTATACAAAACTATAACATACCTGAGATTTATTTCAATCTGGAAGGAGGGAACAGGTGAGTAATAAATTAGGGCTAATTTAAGTTGATAATCGTTGAGGTTGGGTGATAAATATATGGGGTATTTCATGCCTTTTTTTGTTTGAAACTCTAAATTTTCAAAAAGTCAGATCATTGTGTTATTTTTCTCTCTTTTGTAAAATTCATGCTTCCTCGCTGTATAAAGTATCTTTAAAACTCATCTTGTCCCTTACATCAGTCTCTTTACTGTCATGTCCATTTGAAATTTTCAAAAACAAGAATGTTTTTAAAAAGTATCTGAGGCCTTCCTGGACCATCCTCATGAGCCCTCCCATCACCCCCACATGCACATACCCCACTAACTAGCTCTTATTACCACTGACATAGCATGTGCTTATTTGATCATTTTCTGTCCCCACAGACATCAGCTCCATGAGAACAAGGACTTTCTTTTCTTTCACTGCCAGATCCCCAGAAATTGTAGTAATGCCTGGCACACAATAAATATGTTTCAAATGAATATTTGTTGAGTAGACACCATTTTAAAGGTTAGGAAACTGTGGTTCAGGTTGACTTAGCAAACTCACTCTAACCTGTCCACCACGTTAATGGTGGAGCCAGAATTAGCCAGAATCTAGACAGTGAGGGGGGTCTAGGTGTCCTCTGTCCCCTAAGATCTGAGAGCCTGGGGCCTATTCCCTACTCTACACACACACACTCACGCACACATACATGCACACACACACACAAAGGTGATGTTACCTGGCGGCACATGACCCAGGACCAAGAGAGCCAAAATGAGCAGAAGCAGTGTTGCCATGGCCGCGGGGCTCCTGGGAGACCACTGGGGAGAAAACAACAGAAGAACTTGCTGAGCCCTGCCCCTCAGTCCAGACTTTATTGGGTTGCAGATCAAGGCAGGAGTGTGGGCAGCAGGAAACCTAAGTGGAAGTCTGAGGCCTTGTGCTCCCAAGGATATAGCTGGATCTTAGCCAGATATGTGGGGAACTGGTCAGCCATACCCCCTGGAGCTTGCTGAGCTCTAAAGCTGGGGACAAAATTTCCTGAAGCAGTGCCAGAATCAGAAACTGGACATCTGCCCCACCGGAGTGGGTAGGAAAGCCTTGGCTGGAAGGAGACCTGGGTCAATGCCAGCATCTCCCTCTAATCACAGTGACACCTTGGATAAGTCCTTGGCCTCTCTGAGCCCCAGGCTGTCATCTAGGAAAAGATGACCAGTCCCCTTGCAGGCTAAATACGTGGAGAGTTCCCTTTCTAATGCCCAAGGGAACAGAACCTACTGACCCCAAATAAGAGTGTACTATGCCTTGGGGCCTCCCTGGTGGCGCAAGGGTTAAGACTCGACCTATGAAGCTGTCCACAGCCTCTGCAGTGTGAGTTCGATTCCCGGCCAGTCAGGGAGCAATGCACATGGTGCAGCAGACCTCTCCTGACTCTCCCGCTGCTCCCTCAGCAGTGTGCTTTGGTCAATCTGCCTGTTCTGTTCCCTACTCTGTCTCTGGTGAGTCCTCTCACTCCCCTGCGCCTCTGGCCTGTACCCCAGCTCTTGTATGCATAAATAAATAAATCTTGAAAAAAAAAAGTGTACTTTGGCTTAATGGGAAGAGTGACAGTACCTACCTCACAGAGGCAATAGGTGCTTCACTCATGCAGAAGATTAAATGAAATAACACAGTGGTTCTCAAAGTGAGGTACCCAGCCCAGCAAGCAGCAGCAATACCTGGGTCTTGTCAGAAAGGCAGATTCTCGAGTTCTATCCAAAACCACTGAGGGTGGGTCCCAACAAGTTGTGGTTTAACAAGTCTTTTGAGTCACTCTAACGCAGTGCTCAATTTTGAGAAGTGCTATGAAAATATATGCGTAGAGCTTAGAATAGTGCCTGGTCCAGGCACTTTTGTGCTGCATCTTGAAAGACGAACAGGAAAGAGGAGGTTCCAGGCAGAGGGAACAGAGAGTGTCTGAAAGCGAGGGGCCTGGCCAGAGCAGCCGGCCATTGGGTAGTGAGGCTGGAAATGATCCTGCAGAGGACAGGAGCCAGAGCACGAGGTGACAGGTATCATTTAATAAGGTTAAACAATAAAAAATAAATAAATGGTTATTGGGTTAAAAAAAAAAAGAGCAAAAAAAAAAAAAACAACAACAAAACTAAGCCCCCACTCCTTGCCCTGCAGGCAGGTTTGGGAGACTTGAACGGATAAAGGGCATTGATAAGGTGGTCATTGATAGATTGATCTGACTCTGTCAAAGGCCAGAGTCCCAGCAAATAACCCTTCCGAACCCACTCCCCCAGTCAGGAAAAGCCTGTGAAAATAGATTATGAAAGGGAGCCCCAAATCCTTCCTGCACAGACCTCTCCCATCCGGCCGCTTCTTCTCTTAGCAGGGTGTTTCAATAAATGCTCCTTTTCTGTTCCCCACTCTGGCTCTGGTGAATCCTTTCACCCCCTGCAACTCTAGCCTAACTACAGTATTTCTCCCCACTACAGTACGGGCCTTGAATGGGCCAAGTTCAAAACTGCAATACAAAATTGCAGACAAAATTGTAGCCAGGCTGTAACCTGTTCAGATTTCAATTTTAAATAAATTGAGACCAAAGAAAGAGGCGACTTGCCTAAGGCCAAACAGCAATGGGGCTGCAGAGCTGGAACTGAGTGGGAGGGGCAGCTCCCAGACAAGGCAGAGGCTGCACCTCTCAGGCCATCCTGCAGGTGGGAAGGAGAAGCTCAGAGGGCGGAAGCTGCCAGGTGTGCGCGGTTTCAGCCAACCGGCCAGGGGGCTGTGGGAACTGCTGGGCCCGACACCTGGGCCCCCTCAGCTATGACAACAGCCCCACCCACAGGGACTGCGTGGTCTCCAGGGGCCTCACAGACATTCCCACCCAGCCCCTCAGAATCTGAAAGTGTTGTGGGGGAAGGATGTCCTGAACAAACTCCACAAATAGGTTTTATGGGGCCTCCCCAGTTGCGCAGCGGTTGAGCGCTGGGTTGCGAAGCTGCCCGCAGCCTCTGCAGCACCGGTTCAATCCCCGGCTGCTCCCCGGCCACCGGAGGAGGGTCCCGCATGGCTTGCAGACCTCTCCTGCCGCCCGCTGCTCCCCTCGCAGTGTACTTCGGTCCCTCGGCCTGCTCTGCTCCCCGCTCTGGCTCTGGTGAATTCTCTCACCCTCCCGCGCTTCTGACTGTACCCAGTGCATGTATAAACAAATAAAAATAAATCTTTAAAAAAAAAAAATAGGATAGGTTTTATGGACCCCACCCCATACCAAAGAGATCCAAATCACCAAGGACTACAAATCCTGTACAGTCATCACCACTGAGGGAGGGTTGCTGGGAACTGAGGGTGGAGTTAAGCAGTCAGGTTTGGTATATAACCAGACATGTGGGCCTTGGGGGTCCTTGGGTTTTCGCCAGCTTTCAGCGTGCTATTGGGGTTCCAGAGGAACTGGTAGGACGCATTCACCAATTTATCTCTATTTCTCCCCGAGTTATGCATTTCTTCATTTCCCCTTCTTTTGTAAATAGACCCTTGATTAGCCTTTTTGTGTGTGCCTGCAGTTGAGTCTTATTTTATAAGTCCCTTTTAAGCATGCTGGTGAGGACCCACAGTCAGGCAACCCATTTCACACCTGGGTTGCCCTGTAACAAAAGGAAGCACTCCACTCCAAGAACCTGCATCCTGCACTGATGGGTGCCCAAAATGACCAGGTCTCTCCAGCCAGTTTCTCCTCTATCCAGGGTGACGGTGTCTCTTTCCTCCTCCTACCTGCCTGGGATGATTGAAAAAAAGAAGAAGAAAAAAAAAAGCCACAGACTGAAAGGACAGTAGACAGAGAGGCAGACGCCTGAGTGCCAGGCCCTGCTCATCCTCACTGTGTGGTGTCAGAATTAAATGAGCTAATAATCCAGGCAAAGCGTGCAAACCCAGCGCAAGACCCGGTAAATATTCACCAGGTGGGAACCGCCATCCTTCTTGGCGCAGCAGGCCTGGCTGCACAACAGATGCTTGGCCTGAAATCTGGTAAATGAAGGAACGATGCCAAAATAAGATATTCAGAGCTCTCCGGGGCAGACCTCCTGGGAGCTTCCTTCCTTGAAACCATCTCCCAAAATGAATGTCCCATGCAGACCAGAATTTCTCACAGGGGGGTCCATAAACGCTTGGGTGCCTGATTAAAATGCAGGTTCCTGAACCGCTTTCTCAGGACAGCTGAATCCGCTTCTCTTGGCGGGTGGGGCCCGGGAATCTGAACATTTAACAGGATTTTGACGAGGGCTGCCGTTAGTGTGCCCATGGCTAGAGTGGATGGATGCGGATGAAGAGGGGATCCAGACTCCGGAATTCAGGGTCCCCATCTTTCCTATCTCTACCCAAACCCCCACCCACCCCCAATTCCGCTCCCACCGCCGGCGCAGGACAGAGGGCCGAGGGTCTGCTGAGCTCGGCGGAAACGCCGGGGATGCCCTAATGGGGCGGGGCTGGCCGGGGCTGGACCCGGCTGGACGGGGCGGGGTTGCGGCTCCTCCCCAGCGGGGCAGCGAGGCGGGACCGGCCCGAGGGGCTGCGGCGAGGCGGTGGTGCAGCCCGGAGCACCCGGCAGCGGCGAGGCCGGGCACCCAGGACCGCTCCCCACGCCGAGGTAAAGCCCCGGGCGGCCGCCACCAACTTCGCGAAGTTGGAGCGGAGTTCGCCGGGCGCCTGCATGGGGCTGGGAGTGGGGTTTCTGCAGACAGGCAGGGGTGCGGGGGGCCTCAGTCCCGCCGGGTTCGGGTTGTCCGACCTGGATCCTGGTAGTCTCGGACGAGGAACCGTCTTGGGGTCGGGACGCACAGCCAGGACCCAGGCCTGGGTGAGGTCGGACTCGGACTCCGGGAGTGACCCAAGCGCTCCCTTCCCGCCCTCTGCCAGGACCCTGTCCGGTGCCCAAACCTGGGGCCTGACTGCAGCGGAACCCCCGCCCCCCAACAGCAGCTGGAGGCCGTCGCCCCAGCCACTCCTGAATTTTTCACGTAGGGGGCGGGTCGGACACGCGGTTGCCATGGCACCAGGGCGCTCGGGTTACAGCAGAGGAACCCCCAGACCCCCCTCGCCCTTAGGAGTACTAACCCACCCAAGCTGCCTCTTCCCCAGCCCTCCTGGCATGGATCAGCCAAATGAACACACACCCCCATCCCAGGGGGCCGAGGACTCTCCTCCTCTGTACCCCCCAGCCTGCTTGGGGAACAGAGCTGTGGGGATGGAAAGGACCAGAAGGGTGGGGGCAACTCAGGTGCCCGTGCAGGAGGGCCCGTGTTCTGAATGGGAGGGGCAGGCGTGGGCACAGACGCTGGTGGGGACTGTTAGGCTCCCACCTCACTGCTGCCCGCCTGCCTGCTTGTCACAGGGCAGAGGGTCATCCAGGCATAGGCGATGGCCTCTGGGTGCGCACACCTATGTGTCCTTAGCCTGTAGACTCACCCCTCTCAGCCTGACCCGGTTTACCCTGGGACTGAAGCCAGAAAGCCCCACACCAAGGAGCTGAGGTGCCTCTTCCACCATTTGAATGAGGGGGCTCTGGAGGAAGCCATCCCAGCCGCTCAGCGGGACCCCACAGAAGGAGGGTAGCTCAAAACGAGTAGCTCACCACCACCCCTCCTTATTCCTTCTTGTTCCCAGAAGAGGAAGGAAAGGAGGAAGGAAGGAAGAAGCAAGCAAAGCCCCCCTTCCTAAGGATGACACTAAACACCCAGCAAGAAGCAAAAACCTCCCTGCGCCGGCGAGCCAGCACTCCTCTGCCCCTGTCCCCCCGGGGGCGCCAGCCTGGCCTCTTGTGCACAGCACCTTCTGCAAAATCTCAGCATCCGCGGCTGGGCCAATCAGCTTCCCTCAACCCTCCTGCCCGGCAACCTTCACCTGCTCCCAACAGTTGGTCCTCCGAATCCAGTGACTCTGAAGGCTCCTGGGAGGCTCTCTACCGCGTGGTGCTGCTCGGCGATCCTGGTGTGGGGAAGACCAGCCTGGCCAGCCTCTTTGCAGGGAAGCAGGAGCGGGACCTCCATGAGCAGCTGGGAGGTAGGGCCCTGCGGGCTGGGCTGGGATGTGGTCAAAGGAGTGAAAGACCTTTGGGGTGTCATCAGGGGCCCAGGGGTGCCAAGAACAATTGTGTGCAGTGTGCACTGGTCCACTCTAACAGGCATCCTTTACATAGATGACATGTGAGTGAGGCTCCCTGGGGGCTATGTAGGGCGCAGCCTGCGCCCTGGTCAAGGGAGGGAACTTCCTTGAGTGGGGGGGAATTTTGCCAATTTCTCATGGATGGAAGAAGGTGACTCTTTCCATGTTATAAGGGAGGCGATTCCAAGTTCCATGAGTGTCAGTGTCAAGAAATGGTGACCACCACCCGGCCCATGTCTCCAACCCAGTCCCTTAGACAACCATCCATGGCCACCACCATCTGCCCAGAAAAGAGATGCCCATTCTCCCAGTCCTGGGACGTAGATTCCTGCATTCCCGACCAAGATATACAGTGACCTGAGTGTGTCAAGGGTCCCAGAATAATGGGGGACAGGACAGAGGAAATCAAGATTGGTCCCTGCAGGACTGGCTGAGATAGGTGCATGTGGAGGGGATTTAGTTGAAAGCAAAGGAAAAAGTGGGGACATTCTGGCCAGGCCCTTTCTTGGGCCTAGATCCCTCTGCGAGTGAGAACCCCAAGGAGGGGTGTACATATGGACACCTGGATGTGTGACCCCTGGGAAGACAGAGGCCCAGAAGTTCATGTAACCTGCCAGCATACACTGAGCCAGGGACAGAGCGGGACTGGGGGACTCCCAGACCAATTTTAACCCCACCACCCCACTATCCAATCAAGCAAAACAACAAAAGCATTCTTGGCACCTACTACATGCCAGGCACTGTGTTGGCAGCTGGGAGATATGGGCTCCTGAAGGAGTTTCTTGACCAATCAGGAGAGACAGAGAACAAAGTGTGAGCACTCCAAGGAGAAGTGGAGAGGGTTTTGTGACCAGAAAAGGGGCAAGGGAATCACACGCTCCCCGGGCCTGCCCCCTCCCTGAGATCCAGCTCTCTCCTCGGTTGCAGAAGATGTATACGAGAGGACCCTCACAGTGGACGGGGAGGACACCACGCTGGTGGTCATGGACACCTGGGAGGCTGAGAAAATGGTACGACACAACAAGCAGGATGAGGGAGGGAGAGCGGGTGGATACCAAGCCTGGTGCCAAGCTCCTGCCCCCTCCCAGGACACTACAGAGCAGGGCAGGGCAGGGCTCATCCTCAGCATCCCCAAGCCCACAGCCCCTACACAGTCTTTCCATCCAGAGACAGAAGGACCTCATAGCCTTCACCCCTTCTCTCACTCTGCTGACTCCTTCCCTGCAGCCGTCCCAGGGGATGCTTCTCCCCTTGGCTATGACACTCTCACCCCACCCAACAGCCCCTCCCACAATGAGCAGAGGGGGTTACTGGGACTAGCAGATGCCTGAAGTTGAACCCTGCTTCTTTTTCTTACCAGTTGTGTGGCCTTGTGCAATTGACTTGCCCTCCGAGCTTCAGTTTTCTTATCTGATAAATGGGTCGATCATTTCTGCCTTCCTTACCAGTTTTTTTTTTTTTTTTAAGTCATAGAAGTAAGCACAGTTTGGAGCCTGAAAAATGCTGGACACGGGTGAAGAATTATAAATGATGATAATTCTTGTCAATCATAACCTGGTAGTAAAAGAGTTAGCAACAGAGAAAAGAAACCCAAGGGCCTCCTTCCCAGCCCTGCCAGAGCAGGGAAGCAAGCAGCAGGCAGGACAAGCTCCTGCTATGCTTTCCTTATCTTGTTTGAGCTTTCCCTTTTCTTGCTAGATAGTATATTTCATCATTGTAGAACTTTGAAGAAATACAATTAAGAAAAAAAAGGATCTTTAAATCAGGAGGGATCCCATCTGTCTCAGGCGAGGCCCCTCCCCTAACATAGATGGGGCTTAGGAAGGCAGTGTTGGCTGATTGACAAGAATGCCTGACAGCCCAGAGACAGGCCCAAAGGCTAGCCATGAAGACCTAGGAAGCCAATTCCTTTTAACAAACATAAAAAGAAACCCAGGTCCAAATGAGGATAATAGTGATGATGATGATTCTCCTAACATTGGCTGACATTTATGGACTGTCCTCCTAAATGTCGGTGCCTGTGCTAAGCCCTAGACACTTATTAGTACATTCAGTCAAGACAAAAACTATAAAGTGACTATTCTGACTCCCATTTTACCAATGAGGAAATCAAAGCTCAGAGAGGTTAAGCAATCTGCCCAAAGCTCTCAGATAGCAAGTGGGATTCAAACCCAGGTCTGTAAGATCCCCTCCTGGGGGCATCACCTTTGAACTTTCAGCTGAGGTTTCGCTGCTTCATTCATTTGTTCGTTAAGAAATACATGTTGGGTGTATATCACAGGCATGGAAACCCAGAAGAGAGCAGCACAGACGTGTCCCCTCACCTCACGGTGCTCACAGACAGGTGAGGGAAGACCTACTTTGGATGCAGTTGAGAATCTTATGGGGCAGAGTCCGGTGATTTAAGAGTAACCAGAGTAGGAGTCCCGTTTGGGAGATGGGGAGGAAGAGTATTAGACTGAAAAGCAGGAAAATTCTTTGTCCAGCTTGTTGTATGGCTTTGAGTTTTCTCATCTCTGGTCCTTGGTTTTCCTACAACTAAAATGGAGACACTGAGCCAGTGTCCCTGGGTGGGGACCATGAAGCGTTCCCCAACGGGGGCCCATGCATAGCAACCTTATTGGGATCAGCATCCACCCTTCCCATCCTCAGCTAGATGGTCTTCATTGGCGTCAGAGAGGCAGAAGCTGATAGAAGCAGGTAGGCCTCTGGTTCATATTCTCAGGCCTCATCCAGACCTAATGAATGAGACCTATATCTGTAGGGTTCCTGGAATCTTACCCACCAATCCATGCACCGACCAGATTTTATTATCTTAAAAGATAGCAAGTCCTCCATAAAGATTTGTGCAATGAGTGGACGAATGGTCAAGACCCACCCTCTCAATCTATAGATGGGGAAACTGAGCCCCAGGAGGAGGAAGTAACTTGTCCATATTCAAGGTTGAGAACCCACCTCTGTCTCCCTCCGCCCAGGGTTATCTGAGCTGGGGAAAGACCAATATGACTATTGAGAACTTACCTTCTTTGACATGGTGTTGACCCCAGATCTGATGCTTTCCTATTCCTCTGTCTGAATTGGTCATCAGAAAGGTTTTCAGGAATCTTCCCCCCTCATAAAAAAATGCTTCTTCCACATTCAGTATTTCCCACTCCCAGACCCCTCTCCTCTCCTACTCGGCCTGCTCATCCTTTCAACCCCTGCTCCCACTTCCTCTGCCAGGTGGAGCAGTTCTGGCCACCTCATGCCACCTCAAGGCTCCTCCAGTCACTTGATACGTCTCTGCTGGTAGCACTTACCACGCTGATTCTAATTCTCCATCCCCTTAGCCTCTTTTCCAGATCATGAGCTTTAGGAGGACAGGAATTGTGTCTTACCAAAACATACAAAGCTGTGATTTCAGATGGTCCAGTTTCAGAGTACTCTCCCTGACAAAAAGCTAACCTCAAGAGTACTCCAGTTCTTTCCTTTCCTTGTCAAGCAACTTGCAAGGGCTTCTATTTTTTACTCACAATTCCAGATGAGTTAATCTGCAAAAGCATGCGGATTAACAACAGCCCATGGAAAAGATCTGCCCATGCGGCTTCCCACTCTCCCCAGGAAAGCACGGACCTCCCATGCAAGGTGCACAGATGCACACAGCACTGCCCACCAGGGGAACTGGTGGCAGAGTTGTGGTTCCAAGCTTTTTATAAGGACTCGGTGTTGGACATGCTTGACTACCTGCATGGCTCTCCCAGCACAGATCATTCTGTTGCTGTCTGGTGTGGCTCGCAGTCCCCAGGTAAATAAGACATTCACAGGACATTCCAAGCTTAGAGATAACCTCCCCCAAGCTGAGGACAAAGGCCAAGCCTTGATTTAGGCAAGTCAATTATTGATCACACAAGAGCATGTGGAAATTTCATTTCAGGATAGTAAAGGGACCATCACAATATTTTTGTCATAAAAAGGAGATTTGGTCTGATGGAACTGAGAACCAGTTGAGAAAAACATGCAGGGAGGCCACTGGTGCTGACAGAGGGGTACTGATGGGGGACTATCTCTTTCATGATCGCGATTAAATCATGCAAGTCCCTGCTTATAAGATGACTGTATCTCCTCCACGCATACCTCGGCCTCCCTCAAAATAAAGAAAGTAGGGTGGGACAGAGCCTGTTACGTCAGCCTTTCGTGGCCATGGAGGACACCACTTCTTCACACCGCCCTTGCATCTCCCACCCCCTTCCTCACACTCCACATTCGCTCCTCATCTCTCTTTAAAACTTCCCTCCCCTTGAAGCCATTCTCCTTTCCTCACTTCTCTCCTATCCTTTTTTTTCATAATTCTGGACTACAGGCAACAACAACAACAACAACAACAAAAAAAAAAAACTGTCTAGCAAGACATGTCGTCCTCAGAACCAAACAAAAGAGCTGACCAAGCAAAGCCAGAACCTTCGTTAGCAGGAAAAGAAATCAAATACATCTTCTTTTTCTAGCTAACTTTATTTTCTTACATCTTTATTCATTTTTGAACATTTGATTTCTCCTCTCAGGTGTAGTCCCCATAAATCCCCCATCACCACAGCACATCCCCATAGTCCTATGAGCTATCCCCATAGTACTCTGTGCTCTTCCCTTCCCTGTTCCAACCCCTCTCCCTCCCTTGCTGTATACCTCAGACCTATGGTCAGCCTGCAAGTTTTGTCTTTTTCCTGACCCTTTGTACGATTTCTACCTGTACGATTTCTACCTACGATTTCTACCTATAGTCTACCTGTAAGTGAAACCATCTGGTATTTCTCCTTTTCCTTCTGGCTTATTTCCCTTAGCATAATCCTTTCCAGTTCCATCCATGTTGCTGCAAATGGCATGAGTTTATCTTTTTTAGTTGCTGAGTAGTATTTCATTGTCTATATATTGAATATATCACCTCTTCCTGATCCACTCATCTGTCTGGGGGCATTTAGGTTGTTCCCATACCTTAGCTATCATACATAGTGCCACAATAAACATAGCACTGCAGGTTTCCTTTCAAATTAGTGTTTTTGTGTCCTTTGGGTAGAAACCTGGTAGTGGAATCACTGGATCATATATAGTAATCTTTTCTGTCCACTGTCCAACCTACCTACCAAGGGAACCAATGAATGGGAGAATATTGAAGCAGAGAAACTGAGGCCCAGTGAAGAACAGGGTTTTCCCAAGATGACACAGCGAATTATGGCAGAAGTTGTCCCCCACACCTGTCCTAAGTATAAAGCTCAGGTCCATCCCACCCCTTAGATCACCCCAGCCACACCTTTCTCAGTGAGGGCCGGGGTACTCTCTAAGGACCGGCTTGGGGTTCCTCGCCTACAGAACGAAAGCGGGAGCCACGAATCGTGCCTGCAGGTGGGCAGCGCCTATATCATCGTGTATTCCATCGCAGACAGAGGCAGCTTCGAGAGTGCCTCTGAGCTCCGCATTCAGCTGCGGCGCACGCACCGGGCGGACCATGTGCCCATCATCCTGGTGGGCAACAAGGCGGACCTGGCACGCTGCCGGGAAGTTTCTGTGGAAGGTGAGTCTGCAGCTCCACCCTCCTCCTCCATGTTTCTCTCCGCCCGCTGTCACTGCTCCACGTGGCTGCTCTCCATCTCAGGGATGGCTTGCCCTTTGACCCCTTTCCCGCCGCCATCCTACATCCACTTGCCTAAGCCCAAAAGCTAGGAGCCAGGCTTGCCTCCTCTCCCGCTACCCTAAATCAAGCCGGGTCTGTCTCCCTCACCCCACAGTCCCTTCACTTCAAGCCCACAGCCCTGCCCCCTCCTGGCATCTCCACTTTAACCTGGGCCAGTCCTGTGCTTTATCTCCACTCAGTCCGTTCTGGACACTCTGCTGAGGTTTTCCAGAACCAGACCTGACCCTGTCACATCTGTACTTTAAAATTCCCACATGACTCCGCCATGCCCTTCATCAGAGATACGTCATCCATCAGGCATAATAGGCCCGGTACCTACAGACTTTTCAGAGGCTGACATCTGAGACCTGAGAACAATTAATTGGCTCCAAAATACAGTGAAAATTATAAATTCAATTTTCACAAAGCTTTCATTGTCCAAAAAACATAATATTGTGTCAGCCAGCAAGACTTTGAAGTTGTATATAAGTTGTATTTAAAGTGGAAAGGGGAATATTTGCATGTTTGATAAGAGTGGGTGGGGCTCAAAAAGATCTTTAAATGGCCCTTTGGGTACAGGACAGAATCTGGGAAATTGGAAACTGAGTCCCGGGGAGGGAAAGTCAGTTCTACAGGATCACCAGTCACTGAAGACTGGAGCCCAGACCCAGTGGCGTCCTGGAGATGGGAGGCTTGTGCTTTGTGTGAGGACATCCCAAAATGCCACAACATTTACCCCGAAAGATTTTGTTAAGAGGCAGATTCCCAGCCCTCATTGCAAACTTAACAAATCTTTGTGACTGGGCTCAGGAATCTGCGTGTTTCATTTTTTTTTTAATATTTATTTATTTATACAAGCATTCGGTACAGTCAGAAGCGTGGGGGGGGGGGTGAGAGAATTCACCAGAGCCAGAGCGGGGAGCAGAACAGGCAGACTGACGAAAGTACACTGCTGAGGGGAGCAGCGGGCGGCAGGAGAGGTCTGCGCACCATGTGGGACCCTCGCCGGCAGCCAGGGATCGAACCGGTGCTGCAGAGGCTGCAGGCAGCTTCGCAGTCCCGCGCTCAACCGCTGCGCCACCAGGGGAGGCCCTGCATGTTTCATTTTGATGCAATTTTTGGATTCACATTTTAATTATAATGCACGGACAAGACCCTTCTTTGCCTTGCCCCAACCTCCCTGTCTTCCTAGCTTCACGCTGCTACCAGTGTCAGTTTCAAGGGTAACTCCTCAAAGCCCGGTCTGGCTGCTCCCAGTGCCCGGGCAGCCGGCACGTGGTATGGGGTGGGAAAATCTGCTTCTGTTGACTCTGAACCTGCCTTTCCCTCCGCCATCCGGTCGTGGCTTCGCCTCCTCCATCTGGCCCCACTCAGAGGGTCGCGCCTGCGCTGTGGTGTTCGACTGCAAGTTCATCGAGACTTCGGCCACCTTGCAGCACAACGTGGCGGAGCTCTTCGAAGGCGTGGTGCGCCAACTGCGCTTGCGCCGCCGGGACAGTGCGGCCCGGGAGCCACCCGGGTCGCGAAGGCGGTCAAGCCTGGGCCAGCGCGCGCGGAGATTCCTGGCACGCCTGACAGCCCGCAGCGCCCGCCGCCAGGCGCTCAAGGCCCAATCCAAGTCCTGCCACAACCTCGCCGTGCTGTGAAGCCGCCCTCCGTCCAGCAGTGCAGACACTAGCGCATGTTCTGGGCTCCACGGATGCCACCGAGACGCACCAGTGTCCTGGAGTCCACTTGGTAGGCCTTACCCATCTGCTTCCCTGAAGGTCGCAGCATCCCCAGAGCTCCAGCTTTAGGTAACTCTCCATCTGGGGAAGCAATGGACAAACAAGGGTCGAAGCCCCAAACTGGACAGAGTAGGGTCTTTATGGGGTGCCTGTCTTTTTGTAAAAATATTCCTTGTTCCTTGGCTCTGTCCCTGATTGACTCTGGCCCATGCTCAGAGACACCCCCAACACACAATAAATCAGAACAGAAAGATGACCCGTCAAAATGACCAGACCTCTTCTTTTGGGCGCTTGCAGGCCTCTCCACCCTTGCTCTCCCATCTACACTGGCTGCAGCCAGCCAGCTGGTGTCTATCTGGGGTGAGTCAAGAAAATCACTGCACCAATTGTGTGTTCAGGCCCTGCTCCCCACCGCTGGGCGCAGCCCCTGCCTTTGGTCTTTGAGGGACTCACAGTTCAGTTTATAACCTGCTATTTTCTCATCACCCTTTTTTTTTTTAGAATATAGATTTATAAAAATTATCTGGAAGACCTGTCTGCACTCATGCTAGCAATATAATAGTTGGTGTTCGTTGTGAGCTATGTACTAAGCTGTCACAACTCTTAATCTTCACAACCCCTGTCTGCTAATTAGGAAACTGAGGCATGGGCTGGTGCTCAAGATCATGCATGACTCTACCCAGGCTTGTCAGGCTAGAGACTGTGTCAGTCTATAATCCTCTTGGAGAATGTGACCACAGATAGCAAATTCAGGGCCAAATACTTTCAAACACACTTTTGCATATAATTTAAAAGGGGAGAGAGAGGTGGACTCCGTAAAACTCAACCCATGAAAACTTCTTTGCAAAGGGGAGCGTGAAGCCCAGGGAGGGGAAGCAAGCACCCCAGGAGCACCCCAGGAGCACCCAGCCAGTGAGGGTGAGAACTGGACCCCAGAGTTCCACCTCCTCCTATGTCTGTGCATGAAGTAGGAGGTGGTGAGGCATCCAGCCTGTCTGGGGCTGGGCCTTGGGGTCAGGTCAGGAGTTTCCAGTCTAAGGGAAAAGGGTGTCACTACTTTCAGAGGAGAACAAGACGCAAACAGTTTGGGCCACTGTGTCCCCGATGACTGATACCCCTGCCCCCAACCGGCTGCCCTCCTGGATGCCTCAGCCCCCTACATGCACCATGTCCCAGGCAGCTGAAACAGCCCAAAGAAGACCAAGCGGTAGTGGGCGGGCCATGTCCTCCAGCTGCAATCCCCTGATCTTGCCAGGCCGGCACTGATGGCACTTATTTCCCCATCCCAACTACAGCCTGGGGAAGAGAAGAGGAGGAGGGTCTTCCCTCACCCCAAGCTGTCTGCGGCCTGCGGTCGGGGAGGGGCTATGGTTGTGGAAAGTTGGCAGAGGCAGCCGGCAGCAGCCGGGAGAGTGGAAAAAATGATATCAAACCCGGAAAAATGCAGGCCGGATGGAGGGCCTGAGTCGGCCCTAGGAGGTGAGGGGGGGGAGGGAGGGAGGGAAAATAGGAGAGAGGGAGGGTAGGGGCCCCGCAGGCTGAGAAAGGAAGAGGGGCCTGCAGGAGTGTGAGGACTGGTTTGGAGAATGCAGTTGCTGTCATTCCTTCTATTCTTCACCTGCAAGTATTTATGAGGGCCTACTAAGTGCAGGCCACAGTTCCAGGCTCTGGGGCAAGAGTGGTGGACAGAAGGTATACTACGCTGCTCCCTGCAGTTCACAGTCTGGTGGGGGAAGCAGACTAGAAAACAAGTAAGAGAATAAAATGATTACACACTGACAAAGGGCTTAAAAGCAAGGTGGACTTGAAGACCCTGAAGTGATCCAGTTCCCCTCACCTGAGAGCCAGAGAGGGAGCGGGCTTACCCCTGGCTACTCAGAGTGTGGAAGAAACAGTTGAGACCAGGTCTGGGGGTGGGGAAGGGAAGAAATAAAGAAAGTGCAGTCCAGGATCCAGAATCAGGGACGAGTACACAGGGTACTGAGTCCCGATCCCTGGGTCTGTATTCAAACCCTGCTTCTCCATCTCTGTGTCTCAGCTTCCCATCTATAAAATAGGACTCACAACAATTCCCTCCCTCAGGACTGATGTGAGGATTAAGTGACTTAAGATGGGCAAAGACCTTAAACCAGCTCCATGGGCCTCCCCTGTGGCGCAGCGGTTGAGCGCTGGGTTGCGAAGCTGCCCGCGGCCTCTGTGGCGCCGGTTCGATCCCCGGCTGCTCCCCGGCCACCGGAGGAGGGTCCCGCATGGCGCGCAGACCTCTCCTGCCGCCCGCTGCTCCCCTCAGCAGTGTACTTCGGTCCTTCTGCCTGCTCTGCTTCCCGCTCTGGCTCTGGTGAATTCTCTCACCCTCCCGCGCTTCTGACTGTACCCAGTGCATGTATAAACAAAAACAAACAAACAAATAAATAAACCAGCTCCTGTATATCAGAATATTCAGTAAGCAATGGTCCCTGCTATCATATCTTAAGACCTTAGGGAATCCATGGTCTTAAGATTGTTCAAGGTGATGTTCTGAGACATTGAAGAATTATACCTGGAAGTGTTTGCCCTGCTATGATGCTAGAAATCTTTAGGAAAATCTCTTCCCCTCTTGGGCCTAAGTTCCTCCATCTAAATTAAGGGATTGAGTCTCAAGTGTATCCTATATTCCTGTACTCAGGGTTATCATCTGCCTTCCCCACAGGGGTGAAAGTGCCAAGAGTCAGGGACCTCAATTCCGCTCTCTCCCGGTTATAATTGGAGCTGTTGAATGAATGAATGAGCCACTCTGTGAAATGGCCTGTCCTCTCCGATCCCAGGAGTGTGTGTAAGAGGCATGGCTGGGAAAGCATGTGCCAAAAGCACAAAATTCCAGGAGAGGCAGCCCATTTGAGTTTAGAAAACACTCATCCTTAAATACAATCCAAAGGGGGAAAACTGCCTTTGTTTTGGCCGTTACTATGTGATAGGCCCCATGCTACACGCATGGTACACCTTTTCTCAGTCCATCATGTCCAATCCATCTACTTCACAGGTACCATTTGACAGATGAGCATATTGAGGCTAAGAGCATCAGGAAATTTGTTCAAGGTCACCCCACACAAAAGGGTAGTCAGGATTCAAACTCAGCCATTGAGAGGCAGGAAGAAACTACTATCTTCATTGTACTGTTGGGGAAACTGAGGCCCAAAGAAAGGAGATGGATTGCCCAAGGTCATATAATAGCAAGCAGTTACATCGGTGTTACTATATACCAGTGCTGTGTACCACTTTTCTAAGTGTACTGTGTGCTGAATGCTTTTCATATACTAATTCCACAAACTGGTCATATTATCACCATGCCAGTTTCCAGGTGGAGAAACTGTAGCTCAGAGAGGTTCATTGTCCTGCCGTGGTTGCACAGTTTAGCAGATGGCAGAGCCAACACTGGAACCTAAGAAGGGTAGTCCTATGGCGTTAATGGCTGCTCTGTGTTGCCCGTGCATGGGGAGAGTGGACCAAAGCAGGCTGGTATGAGAGGGCAGATGCCTTTGCCCAGCACCCTGCTGCCTGGGCTGGGGGAGGGGCAGAGAACAGAAATACTCTTGAGAATCCTCAGCCACCAGCTGGGGCTTTCCACCTTGAAGGGAGGGTACTGTTATGGAAACAATGATAAAGCCTATGATAAACAATGATAAAGATGTCTGTCTGGGGGGGGGGCAGCGGGGGGGGGGGGTAGCTCCTCAGAGTCCTCCCCTGCTGTGGGGGAGGGTCAGAGACTGTGCCGGCCTTGTCCCAGTCAGATGAAGGCCACCTGGGTCCCGATGATGACGAACCCCAGCCCACCCAGCAGTTCAAATACTGAGGCTCTCTGGCTTTGACGGAAAGTTCTGATTACTCAGCCAGGGCCACAAAGCTTCCACTCAGGACCTCCAAAGAATCGGGTCAGGCCAGAACACACCATGGTGGATGGTGGGAAATTACTGTCTTGCAGAGCCCTGCTCCATCCCTGCTTTATTCAGCAAACATTGACAAGGTAGATGCTCTGAAGGAAGGTAAGGAGGGCGGGGAGAGCCATGGCTGACAGATACGGGAACTTCAAGTCCTTGCTCTGGTTGAGATGGGAGGAGAAAGGTAAATGAGGAGTGGGAGTTGTGGAAAATTTATCCACAGCTGCTTTATACAGATTGAGAATCTCTCAACTCTGCCGTGACCCTGTGACCTTAGGCAATCAAAATATACGGAGTGAAGAGGTTAGGGTAGAATTCTCCATGTGACTATTCCATCTCAAGAATATTGGAATATTCTAGTTCAACAGCTTGAAAAAATATACAAGCTCAGTTTCAATTTCAGCAGTGTTCCCGACTATTCAGTTCAGGGTTCAGTTAAAAATAATTCTAATGATGGGATGGGAGCTCTGGGTTCAGCAGTGTGTGCAGTTTCCCCCAGTTCCATCTGGTTCAAGTTCAAGGCTAAGATAGAACGCTGTTCCCATTATTACCCTGTGTAACAAACCACCCCGAAGCTGAATGGCATTAGAAAAAAATCATTTTATTTTAGATTTTGTAAGTCAGAAAGTTAGACCAGGCAAAGCGGGTACTGCTCCTTTCTGAGGACTCAACTGGGAAATTCTAAGGCTGCAGGACTTAATCATCTGCAAGTATCCTCACCTACATGGGAGAACTGTCTGGGATCTGTGTCCATGTTGCCTTTCTTGGTGGCCTGGCCTATTGCCTCTGTAACAAGTCACCACAGCAGCTTAAAACAGCACAGATGTATTAAACTGCCTTTATCTAGAATGGAAGTCTAGCCTGGGGCTCAGTGGGCTGGAATCAGGTGTCAGCAGGACTGCATTCCCGTCTGGAAGTTCTAGAGGAGAACTGGTTTCCTCGCCTTTCCCAGCTTCTAGAGGCCAAAGCTTTCTTGATCCCATCTGCATCTTCAAAGTCAGTGGCTCGGGATCCAGTCTCCGCACCACCATCTCTCCAGTTCTCCCTCTTCTTCCTCCTTTTTTCCACCCTTGTGACTTACCCCAGTGAGCCCACCCAGATAATGTCACTGTTTTAAAATGCCCCTGTTTTAAAATCAGCTGATCAGCAGCCTGAGTTCCATCTGCAACCTCGACTCCCTTTGGTCAAGGAACAACATATTCAAGGTTCCAGACACTAAGCTATGAGCATTTTGGAGAGCTGTTACTCTGTCCTCCATAGCAATAGAGGGTGGAGGATGTAGGAAGGCAGAGACTGAGAACTCATTCTACACACATACACACACACACACACACACACACACACACAATTCTAAAACCTAACCAGCAGTTGCTAACTCGAATGCTCACAGCATCAGCCAGTTAATACAAATCAGTGAAGTGGACAGGTGAAGGACATGAGGTTAGGATCAAGGTCAATGGCAAACAGAAGCACCTGCCCTGCATAAAGGGGGCTACAGAACTGAAGTGTCTATTATGCCACCCGAATGTCAACACAGTATTGCCAGCTCTTTTGGTTTTTCTAATGCCAGTCAACCAGATACTTATGTGAAGTATCCCAATTCTTATTCTTATTCTTATTCTTATCTTATTAGCATCCTAATTCTGGGGGTTTTTTTTGTTTGTTTGTTTTAATTTTATTTTTTTTATATTCCCCATGCAATTGCAACCCCCTTATTTTGACCCCAATTCCTCCTTTCCCCACCCCCACCCCCCATAGTGTGTCTCTGGTTCATAGTTGTTTGTTGATTTTGATTTTTTCTTTCTTATAGTTATTCATTTTCCTGGTCCCTTATTTAGGTTTTCAAAGATTCCTGCTATGAGTGAGACCATCCGGTATTTTTCTTTTTCTTTCTGGCTTATTTCGCTGAGCATGATCCCTTCCAGCGGGACAGAAGAAGCAAAACATATCTACCCACCAAATTCTGACCAGAGGCTGACAGTTTGCAATCTCTGGTCTAAACCCAAATAGTGATAGAGAAATGTATTCTCAGTCACCCCCCTCATTGGCAAGGTCATCCTTCATACCATGAAGTTAGTGCTAAATTATAAAGAACAGCTTGTTCCTTTTGTTCAATTCTTGTCTACTCTCTCCCTTTTCCAAGTGTGTCTCTTCAGAACACCAAAGATGCCAAGTGGTAATTTTTAATTTAACTTTGAATTATAGAAATAATGCACTTTAATTATAAGAAAAATCAAAACAACAGAAAATGTATGGTAAAAAGTAAAAATATATTTATCTGGTAAGCTGCCCTCAGCTATACTTGATAGATATCCTTATAAGGATATTTTCTAAATAGATGTCCAGAACAGGGCAATTTTAAGGTTGATTCATCAGCCTCAAAATGCCAGGACACTGGGTCTGCCTCTCCATAATTCTCTAGGCATGTTCTTCATGATTGCAATATGGCTGCAACAACTCCAGTCCTCACAA